TATATGTTTTGTTTATACCAAGTTGGGCGAATGAATTCTAAAGATAATTGCATCACTCTCGCCGAAGCCATTGAAAGGGGCAGTTGACTTCAATGTTGGTCCAAATTTTACGTCAAATTTGTAATGTTTTTCGTTTCGTTTTTTGTCCCTTTTCATATGTAGTGTATAGTAGCAGTGAAGCGGAAAATATGTAGTGTATAGTAGCAGTTCAACGTATCGTTACAGTTTGTGAAGTTTGAAAGGTTGGCCATTGGATGCAGACGTGCTTAGTTTAGTAGGAAAAAACTGGCAAATTTATTAAGTGATTTTTACTCAATGTAGTGTGCCAATTCTGAACGAGTAATCACTGTATTTTATTTGTAAGCCGTCTCTCATCTGAGATATTTGTAAAACGGCGATTACAACAAGTTTGAAGAATAACCGCATGTTTCCATTTTGACCAGCAGCTTCCATCCTCGTTTTGTCTGTGGTTGTCATCCCAGGCTTTCTCGCAGTTAGGAGATAACTCTGTTCGTGTGGCAGAGAGTGTAGGTCCAGTTTCCACCTCCCAAAAATTTTAATACGTCCAGTTCCCAACCCCAGAAATTTTAGTGCAATCCAGATAAACTTCGTGTTTGATTTTTAAAGTAAAAATAGACATTTTTTTCTAATAATAATTGCTTTAATGAGAGTAATGAAATTGTAATATTTAAAATTGTAGATCTAAGGTTGTGGCTAGGCTACCATTTTAATTGTTTTTTTCGTTTTAAGATTTAGTTTTGACGTATGACAGCTAAGATTTTGTTTTAGTTTTTTTTTAGAAAAAGGTTAACCACTATGCATAGTGTCATTTAAGAAGATAATTTTTTATTTGTAATAATTTATTTCTGCTACACATTGTCGCCCATTAACAATTGTAAGTTTTGTAGTATTTCCAACTTCTAGATTTTGTAAACGGATAAGACATAGTAAGTGTCCTTTTTTGTTATTTTGTATTTATCTTTACATCTATCTATACATTTGTAACTGTTTGTGGCGAGAAAACAATAAATGATTTATTTTCTAAACCATTTTGTTTATTTATTTTAAAAAAGTTTCTAACCTCTTTGTGTTTTTAGGAAGGAATAACATTTTCTTTCATCCAGCAGCAAGTTTCCTCAAAGCGGCGGGCTTTATTTTAAATAGCTAGAGGACCTTCTTGTGTTTTGTTTGTCCATCTGTCCAGGAGATTCCCTAGATGTAAGTACTCCTTTGTTTAATTTTGTAGTTGCCCCAATCAGACCCCCCTGTCATTCACTTATCCACGACCCAGCTCCCAATGTCCTGCCCACTGCAGGCGGTTTCGCTTAATTATAGTGGTAATATCTTTACCACCAAACGTATGCTTGTAGATATTCTGCAGTTCAAAGTTATAACTACGCCTCCATAGTCCGTTCTCACAGAGCGCTCCGAATATCTTGCGTAGCACCTTTGTTTCAAAAATCGATAGAGCGGATTCATCTGTTTTAGTTAGCGTCCATGCCTCTGATCCATATGTGAGAACGAGAACTATCAGTGTTCTATACAGCCTTATACGAGTTTTTTGAGACAAACGTTTGTTAGCTAAGTACTTTGATAGACCATGATAACACCTGTTTGCAATTATTATTCGCCTTTTTATTTCCTCAGATGTGTTATTATTGGGGTTAACCGATGTCCCGCCCTTCCACCCTATAACATTTGTTACCTTTTGTCATTAAATAACAAAATTGTATATAACTACCTAACAGAATTTCGAAAAGTAACCTCAGTTTGTAAGTCCAGTTAAAAAAAAAATAGTAACCTTTGTTTTATCCCATTTGTTTTAAACCTACTATCCGTGACCCGGTCTAGTTTGTGTTTTTATTTAATGTCTTGATGGGTCCCTAGACGAGAAGCGAGTGACCATGTTTGTTCTATTGATAACCAAATAACCAATAATAAATATATTGTGATAATTATTTTCTTTTCTTTCCTTTGGGAAGAACTTAAAAAAGTTGTGACTGGCTGAATGGCAAACGCCTATGCCAAAAAAAAAAAAAAAAAAAAAAAAAAAAAAAAAAAAAAAAACACCGATGTCCCGAGATATATGAACTCTTTGACTGCTTCGAAGTTTTGGTCATTGATGATTAAATTTGCGTCAACATTTCTAGCTCTTGTGTTTCTGTTAGTCGCCATGAATTTGGTTTTATTTTAATTTATATGTATCCCCATTCGTTCTGCTGCTGCTATTAGCTCATTTAGGATTTCCGCAGTTCTCGCCCTGGTTCTTGTTATAATGTCCACGTTGTCTGCATATGCTAGAATTTGGACTGATCTATTAAATATTGTTCCCTGCTATCTAAATTACCGTCTCGTACAACTTTTGCTAAGGCGACATTAAACAGCTGAACCGCCAGCACATCTCCCTGCCTTAACCCCCTATGTATTTCAAATGGGATTGACGGGTCGTTTTGAATTATATTTTTACTGCTGATAGTATCTTCGCCATTGTCACTTTTATCAAACATATGAGTTTTTTTGGAATTCCTAACTCATTCATAGCGTTGTAAAGATTTGGTCTTAAGATACTGTCATATGCCGCTTTAAATTTTCAACCCCCTATAATAATACCATATGTGATAGGCAAGATATTTCGTTACAAAATTATCTTCGGTATCGGTAATTTTTGTTTTCAATTAGAAGTATTGTAATTACATATTAAAATATAGTTTTTAATTCCACAGAACTTTTTATTTTACAAATTTTTGATATTATGAAACATAAAGGTAGGTACTTCACTCTTGAGCGAAATTCATATTTTTGACATACCTCGTATACTACTAATAAAATTTGATATCTAATGGTTGCAGGGCTTTTTATATGGAATCAATTTTTTTCGTAAAATTAATAATAAAAGAGTTATCATATTTGTATAATAAATAAAAAATGGTGGGTATCAGTAATTTGAGAGAAATTTGCAAAAATTTTTTTTTTCAATTAGAAGGATGTAATAGTTTTTAATTCTAAACAATTTTCGATATTGTGAAATATAAAGCTACTTTACACCTGAGCAAATTTCATAATTTTTAACATACCTCGTATAATAATGAAGACAGTGAAAATTCTTAATTGTGATGAAAGATCCTTTTTGAAAGGAAATGCAAAAAGTATATATAATACGAATATACCACATGAAGAGACGTTAGTGCCAAGTCATGAGCGAATGAAGGACAAATTACCTCTGGTATGGTATTCTGAGGCAATGCCAGTGGGAGATCATAAAATGGGGATCAAGTCTTTATTAATTCTGGAAGTATGTAAAAATATATAATTGAAAGTGTTCGCTGCCAATTATGTAAAGGTCAAATAAATAATAATCTAGCAAGCCTGAGGTAACGAAGCAATATTTCATTGAACGGTTTAATGGACCAAACTTAAACATATATTTAGAAAAGGATAATTTACCACATCCTCTGTGACAAAATTACCGCAAGACAAGTCAATAAAAGTTGGGTATGACTGTTGTGAAAAGTGACAGAAAGTCAAAATGAAAGATTGGGACTAATATTTCACGCAGTACAAAATGTTTTGAGCTACTATATTTCTTCCGGACGAGGCAACAGTTATAAAGTAAACTTTTTCTTTTAAGAACCCTCAGCAGAAAAATGGAAGATATTTAGATCTGCAGGTCTAGGAGGCCATTGTACGGGTCCACTCCTTTCAAACCAACAGTCTTGGAATTTTTAACTTGATAAAAGTTTTCACTTGTCTACCATAATGCGCAGGAGCATGTTGGAATTCAATTCAATTTAGTTGCTAATGGAACTTAATAAGGGATGACAGTAGTATTCGTTTAAAAATTAAAGTACGACGCTGAATTAAGTCATTTAGGTAGAATGTTTGGACCGATTACATTGTTATTTGATAATTCAGCCCAAATGTTTACTAACTATCGGCTTTGGTGATATCTTTTACATATTAAATAGTGTTTTTTATCATCATCATCATTCTGGCTTCACCACCCTCTGTGGATCCTAGCCTCCTCAAGAATTTTTCTCCAGTCATCCCTATCCATCGCCTTCCTCCGCCAAGTACGTATTCTCATATTAATCATGTCTTCTTCGATATTATCAAGCAACCTTGTTCTGGGTCTTCCTCTTCTCTGACCAATGGGTCTATCAAGGAGCCTTTTTCTAGCTGGGTCATTTTGTTATGTTACCACATCTGCATTACATGCCCTATCCACCTCAGACGTCCTTAATGTTTTACAACATCTGGTTTCTGATATAGTCTTCTAAACACTCAATTGTCATTCACTGCTCCACAGATTCTGGATGGTTCCATGTTAGAACTGGTCCTGTTATTGCTTTGTAGAGGTTTATTTTTGTATTTCTCGATATAATTGTGGATTTAAGGAGATTGAGCCCAAAATAGCATACGTTGGTCGTGCAAATTCTGGGGTTTATCTATGCGGTAATATTATTTTCAGTGTTAAAGAGTGCTCCCGTGCAAATTCTGGGGTTTATCTATGCGCTGGTATTATTTTCAGTGTTAAAGAGTGCTCTCAGGTATACAAATTCGTTCACTGCTTCGATGACGTCGTGTTCTATAACAAGTGGTTGCAGATTTGTGGTGATTTTCACCTCTCTATTCATAAATAGAAAGCCACAGCTGTTGAATAGCGGTACTACTCTGCACGTTTAATATTTGAGGGACTTCTATACTACAATACATATAAATTTGACGAATTGCTGGATAGGTATGACACTATTCTTTTTCTTCCGTGTTATCACCAAGACTTCATCGAATCTTGAGTTCCGTCGAGTTCATTTGGGGTACGTTCTGTTGAAAGTTTCAATCCTTTGATCAAATTTCTATGGATAAGTGACAAAAAGGATGTCAATTACGATTGGTACTTTATGTATACAAGGCATAAAACCTGCTACACAAGACATACAAAGTGAAGTGAATCCGCAAATTATAAACTTCATCATCATAATCACCATAGGCATTAACATCTTGGCAGATGTGTTGTGGTTCATGATTGAGTATCAGCAGCTCGGATAGTTTGATCAAAGATAATTCTCCACTGATAGTGGTCATTTGCTGTATTTCGTCGAAAACTACAGTTCTACTGTTTAGGCCATCTAAGTATAGCTGGTTATCAAACAATCTTCAAAAGCTTCCGTTTGATCACAGATAACTGGAACAGTGTGTAAACACAGGTGTTTAAATCCTGTATACGTAAACGTTTGTCTTTCAATTTTCTTTTTTATCTGCATTGCATATATAACTGGCGATCAGTAATTGTTTTATTAAATGTGAAAATTATAAGGGCAAACAACTTATTAGCCTGTAAGTGTAACAGTGTAGTTTAAATGCAGTTTAAAAAATAAAAAAACCTTATTAATATATCGATATGTTACCACATTTTTTAAATACAATATTTATCTGTAAAAGTAAAAAACATTTTGATTACAAAGTTGTACTTTCAAGTATGTTATACATAAAATAAATAAAGTATAAGGTTTTTATGAAAATGTGAGAACTACTAAATTATTTCAAAGTATCAATGTTAACAAACATAATAGCCCTTGCTTGCAAATCGTAATTTATTTAAAAAATCTCAATATATTCTACCAATGGGTCTTAGAAAGTTCGAAATACGTTCTAATTTGGAAACGCTGCCTTTCTAATTTGGAAACCTTTTGAATCATTCTCAACTTTATATAAAAACCCCATACCCAAAACAACCTACTAGACTCCTGTTCATTAATCGAAATAAACTATAGAATCACTCTTAAAGTCCGCTAATAAATAGGAATCTTCTTGGTAATAGTTTTCCTGCACATATGACAGATTTTCAACGTATCTGCGCATCTCGAGCAAGTGCTATGTCCACAAAGAAATACGACATTCCTCTTTCTCTCCATGCAAATGCTACAAGCGTGGCTTTCTTCGATTTCTTGAATTTTACACTCCAAATACCGCATCCGTTCGGCACTGGGTTGGCGGCTCTTCGGAGGAATCACACGACCGTCTTTGGTGACCCGTTTTTGGACGGGTTGGCCGCATTCCAGACATTTCTTCATTCGGGAAGAGCAGTCTTCGCATGCTGGTTTGTGATTGCAAGGTTCTAGTAATACGTTTTCTTCGGACAATTCGGAACATACTTGGCATTCCACTGGTTTGTTGGGGATTAAGTTGGCAGTGCGGTTATCCTGGGAAGTACCACCTTTGTCTAAAACATATCATTATATTAATACAATGTACATAAATTGTGGTTCAGAAGTAGTGAATGAATAAGTAATTTAGTCCAGTGAGTCCACCTTTCGCAAAAGTTAAGTACACTAGAATAGTTTCATAAATCAAGTCGAGCAAAAATAACGTTTAAACGTGGGAAGTGTTTAATTAAAAAATCTTTCTCTTAAAGATCAATGGAGATTATCTTTTTCTCTCACGTCAGTCTCCCCCGGTAGTGGTCATCGTGATGTCGGGTATTCTCCGTCTCCGAAGATCTGTCTAACCATTTCTTTTAACTCATGCATAAGTCTTTTGTATATTACTGTAATTTGGTCATTAATCAACTTCATAACCACCAATTAATTCGATTTCTAGGTGTATACCTAAATATGATATCAGTGTTTATGAAATTTTGGGGTAAAATCTAAACGCTGTCAACAGTTTCTTGATTTTAAGTATATACATAGTACTATCATCGGCGTACAGGGTGTAGGGTTGTGTTATACAGGCTTCCCACGGTCGGCGATATTACGGACGTAAGCGGACCAGCACGCACCACGCACCGTGGGAAGGGTCTCGTCCGTCGTAGCGCAGGCACGTCTGTGCTGGTCCGTCCTATCCATCTAGAGTCGGTAACATCAAAGGTGCGGTACATGCTCGTGCGACGCGATCCTAGCGCTTCTGTGTTTTAACAGACGACAAATGCAAGTCAGAAGTTTTTTATTCGCTCTTACGAGTAGTTGTCTGTAGTGTTGTCAAAGTTGTTTTGCAGTTTTTTGCTAAAAAATGGAATGGACAAACGAAGTTATTTTGGATTTTTTAAATTTGTAAATAAATCGTAAGAAATCGTGAGATTTCGCTACAGTTGAATTTTGAAAGAAATGGGAGTTTTTAAATGATATATAATTATACAAAACTATTTTAAATACTTTGTATTGTTATATATTAATTAATGTATAAGTACATACTTAAAAATTAGTGTACTAGAAAAGGGTCTACTTTAGGGGAACCACCAGTATCAGATATAATTTTAGGAAATTACCTACCTACCTATATATATATATATATATATATATATATATATATATATATAATATATATATATATATATATATATATATACTGCAAGCTATGGATTTATCGATTCAATATTAGGCAATGATTATAAACATTCTTTATAGTTTAAACTTCAATGAAAATTATAAACCTATTTTACCCAAGAATATTAAGTATACTAGGTATATATTAGGTATACATAAACATTTTGTTTTCTGAAGATTTAACATTTTATCGGTACTTGTAGGATTTCAAAGTTATTGAAGATGGAATATAAAGTTATTGTTATATGCAATTGCTGATTTGTTTCATATCTCGAACACATACTTAAATCATTTTGGTCTGTTGATCCTTTAATACAAAATTCCGGCTATTCTTGATATTTATTGATAAAATATACATAAACTTCAGTTGTTTATGGACCGATATTTACACTTTCAAAGCAATAAAGAACCTTATAAGCTTTGTTTATATTATTTTGTGTATACTAATTGGAGTAGTGCAAGCATTTTTGTATAAAAATATAGTTGATTTATGAATATTTCAAGGTGACAATCTAAGAGCACTTTAAAAATGCTGATTTTTTCGTATAAATTTTTAGGTACCCAGTATTTATCTTTAGATTTAGTAACAGCCTAAAAATTTTAGAAATCGTAAGATATAAGACGTCAATCGTGAGATCGTGAGATTTGTCTTCAATTCGTGAGATCTCACGATAAATCGTGAGGAGTGGCATCACTGCGTTAAATCAAATACTACTGTCACGGACCTACACAGACTGTCACGGACCGTGGGAAGAGCTCTATCTGCGGTGCGTTGCCGCCCGTGGTTATCGGCTGTCCGCGAAGATCTGTAGAATCGCCGACCGTGGGAAGCCACTGTTATAGAGGTAGTACCTTTTATTGGATCGACCACATCGAGCGTCATAAACAGGAGATCGTTCTTGATAACTGGTCCTCTTAAGACACCTAACTCTCACTTATGGCTCCAAGTGCCAAACCCCGGGCAACTGCATTGGTCTGCAGGCTAAACGAAGTGAGGGTAGCCACATATGACGAAAATGTCACCGAATGATTGCTGGTATAAGCAGTCCCTGGGTATAAGGTAGGGCACCTTTTTGTCCTGGGGTTGAGAAATCAATCCCGAAGGCTGATGAACCAAAATTTGGCCAACGTCATAAAAATGTAGAAGGTAAGGGAAACCACTACATTAAAGATCCCTACGGATATCCCTGGAATAATTATCTTATATGTCGGACAAAATTGAAGCAAAAGCCCTCAGTCCCGGGCAGATCTTAGATGGTCCGAGGGTGCTTAAAATCCCCCGGGTTCGATTTCAAGATGTTATTCATAAAGTAGCGGCATGGAACGTTAATAGTTTGTGCACCCCAGGAAATTTACATAACCTTCTCAAATAAATGTGGTGTCTAGAAGTGAAAGCAATGGGTGTAAGTGAATTGAGGTGGACGCCACAGATAATTACCACAGGCATGGTGTTGCAATAGTGCTTGATAATATAATTGCGATGTCTGTTATAGATTACATACCCGTTTCAAACAGAGTAATCATATTGAAGTTAGCCGGTCAAACCAATTAATATAAATCTAATTCAAGTTTACGCACCCACATCTGATAAACCGGAAACGGAAGCTTTAGTTTTCTATAAAGACATAAAGGAAGCATCAAAGGTCACAAATAAAAACGATATCAACATCATAATGGGCGATTTTAATGCCAACGTCGGTAGGGGTAGATGTGGTAATGCGGTCGGTGATTTAGGTATGGGTAACAAAAATGAGCGAGGAGAGTTACTAACTGCATTTTGTAATGACCACGATTTCGTCATATCAAATACGTGGTATCAACTCTAACCAAGAAGATTGTATACATGGTGAGCACCAGGAGATCGTCCAGGTCATATGATACGAAATCAAATTGATTACATCTTGATAAACAAAAGATTTCGCAACTATATAAAAAAAGTGACAAGCTTTTGGACAAACATGGACGTTAAGAGTACCTTCCATTAATAAGTTGGAGGCCTTCGAAATGTGGACGTTATGAAGAATGTTCCGCAACCATGGACAGATAGGGTCAAAAAAGTAGGAAGTCTTAAGAAAGGCAAATACTGAGAGAGAACTACTCAATCTGATCAAGGTACGAAAAATTGGATACCTCGACCATATTCTGAGAGAAAAAAATACGCAATCCCTCAACTAATCATCCAGGCAAAGATTGAAGGCAAGAGGGAATAGGTCGCAAACAAATGTCGTATCTACGGAACATAAAAAACTGGACAGGCATAAATAACACTGGCGATCTTTTGCATGCCGCAAAAGACAGACGTCTGACCTGAAGATAATTCGCCAACGCACTGTAGGTGCACGGCACTATAAGAAGAGAAGACTATCATCGGCAAACATACATATCGCAAGTTACTGATTATTGGAAAATATTGTGAAAATACAAATATTGTGAAAAGAGGAAGAGCAAAACAGACATCGTTACAAAGCGTTTAAAAGGTAAAGCGAAGAGAAATCTTTAGAGCGGAGACTGGAATCTGAAAATACTAGAATGGAAATTAGGAATTGGAAGGATTTTCAATACTTACCTCGATCTTGTTTTTGTCGACTTCTTCTGCTTCCGTCAGATCCGGGGTTAGTTTTAGAAGGAGTACCAGTCAAGTTATATCCTTCTCTCTGGTCATCTGCTACTGATAAGTTTTCCAAATTAATAATGTTTGGTATATTCGAATCTATTTGGTTACTGTCTTCGGCGGCAGGTTTGTAGCTTTTTACCAATTCCTTCAAATTTTCTTCCTAAAATGTAGAAGATTATTATTATATTGAAAATATAGCTTTTTGCGCCTCAAACATGTACTAGTAGCTTAACATATAAATACCGTTAGATACCCCAACCGATCCAGAGAACTCTCGACTATCCATTATATAAAAGATCTGTACATTATTTCACTTTTATTTTTAATTAAAACATCTAGTTGATATATTGTTATTACATTAATTACCATTGGCCACGAAATGGATAAGTATTTCTTGTATTTTATTCAATAACATTTTTAAATTATATAATTAATGTTTTTAAATTTTAGATTTGAATTTCTTTGATTATGTGGCATTGTCGACATTGTACAATAACTGGCAACAATAACTGATATTTGAACATTTTACCATAACTGATATCTCAAAACGTTATTAGACGACAAAACTTTCTTAAATCCTATGTACAAATATGAAATTATCTTTACCTGAAGCAAACTCAAAGCAGATTGTCCTTTACTATTTGCTCCGTCTGGATCAATGCCTTTCTGTACTAGAAAACATGCTATAGCAAGAGCCAGACGACAGTCTTGAAACTGTCCGAGATTCTTGTAGATAGAATGGATTGCTGGGCTCTCTTCCCGTAGAACTTCCCCGGTTAATTGGTTCTTTTTTGTTAGTGCTATATGTAAAGCGTTGTCTTCGTCTTCATCTTTGGCATTTATGTTAGCTTTCAGTTCTATAAGTACTTCTATAACGCCACAGTGACCTAAAAAAATGAACAAACATATTTTTTTCATATATATTACAAAAAATATCGATAATTAAAAAACTTTATTAGAAAAGCGACAATATTAACTTTGACTAAAGTTTAAGCATCGAAAAAAATTTATCACCCGGTACATATTACATATCATTTGGACGTGTTTTTTTTTCAATTTCATTTTGCACATTTCTGTTATACATTAATTCTAAATAAACATGTAATCAAATAAATCGAATTTTTTTATTATAAATTTAAGTAAAACGTCTGTTACTATTAGTTGTCTTTGAAGATGCTCTCTGAGAGTTAAATTACTTGGACAACTTGGTTTACTTATTTAGAAAAGTGTGAACGTCAGTAATATACAGCCAATTCCATATACAATCGGAAGTTTCATACGACATCATACTGTCACTGTACATTTCCAAATTATCAATATTCTCTTCTCTGGTCCTGTGTATACCTTCAGATGATTGCTATCATCATGTCACTGTTCTCTATCAATATCCGATCCAGACAGATCTTGCACCCGTCCATCGTCTTATATTATGTATAAAAGATATTTACGCTTAATTCATCATCTTCCGGTGACTTTTCCCTGAATAATTAGCCACCATAGTTGGTGTTTGTGTCCACTGACGAAATGACCAAAGTATTCTGTTTTTCTTCTTTTAATTATATTTAGCAATTCCCTCTCTATATTTATCATTCTATGTATCACGTTGAAAACGTAACCAAAAGTCCCAGAAACAGAGTTTTTATAGAGATTTTCGACTATACGGAAAGGTAGGCACTAGTGAAATCCGGTCATGGAAACACCCGGCTGATTAATTTTTAAATTGCAGAGTAGGTCTAAGATGGCATGTTTTCGTTAGTCAGGCGTAAGACCAGCTTAGCCAAATAAGGTAGTGTGTCTTTAAAAGTTGACCAGCTTTTTCTCATCAGCGATACATAAGATTCCAAACATGGATAATGTTTCCTCATGCTTTTACTCTTGTTTCAATGGTTTAAGCTTGTAAAAAACAATAGTTTTTTTATTAATAATTTCTGAACAAAATATGTAAAAAATAAAACAAAAATTTAGTTTCAACTAATCGAAAAGTTATCTATTAGCCCGTATTAGACTAAATGTCCAATATTTCTTTAAGTTTAGCTAATTGACTTTCAAAATAACTTACTAACTGATATAAACTACAGATATTGTATTTCGTTCCAAGTTCACAGACCTGTTGTATTTTGTATAAAATAATATTTCTGACTGCAGCCGCGCTTGAACATAAACCTCATAAACTACAGTTCGAAATGAGTCTGGTCCTCTATTGAGTCAACTTTACATACAACTCAATATAAAAATATTAACTTATAACTTAAATATAAGAAAGAACATACCTTGGCTGACAGCTAAAAGCAACGCAGACTGGTTTCGGTTATTTTTCAAATCGATATCGGCTTGCCCTACTCTAACCAATGTTTCGACCACATCCTTATGGCCGTTCAAAGCAGCCAAATGCAAAGCGGAAAATCCGTCGTCTTTTTTCACGTCTACTAGCTGCCTTGCGACACTGAGTAACTTCCTGGTGGCGAAAGTTTTACCTTTTAGCGCCGCGTGGTGTAGAACGTTGAAACCGCGCTTATTCCGAATGGTAAAGTCGAATCCTAAAAAATAATAATAAAATGTTAATAACACATATTTAAGGAAAGCTTAGAAGTGCGAATTAAAAATGTTGTAATACTACGTACATGTTTTGACAAGTAGCATCGTATAGTGAAATCTTCTTGAACATTTATACTTCTAGATTTTAACATCAAAACATATTATAATCATTACTGATGCTGACATGTATATTATATTCAATTCGATTCGTTGGAAATTCCATACCTACCAGAATTTCTTCATATTTGTCAATAACCGTATCCCGTTTATTTCTGTTTTTCAGTATCATCAATACATCTGAATATTAAAGAAGCGTCAATAATTATATCGTTAAAACTGACTTACCTGGTGCTTCGCATAGTAATTCTATAACTTGTCGATCATCTTTTCCAATTGCGTCGTGAAGAGCAGTATCTCCATAGAGATCGGGACAATTGGGATCGGCACCTGCTGCCAATAATATCTGTATACATTTTGGAGATTGTTTGTGAGCTGCTATATGTAAAGCTGTACATCCGCTGCGGTTTACTGCATTTACGTTTACGTCCATTCCAGATTTCACCAACATTTCTAAAATCTAACAAGACCATTTACGTATTCAAATCAAATCAAAAACATTGATCGACGAATGTTTTGATGAAAATATTGAACTTGTCATAACTATGTAGATGACATATAAAGAAGATATATATATATATATATATATTTACAAATTCAGTGGCGAGAATTTCTCGGAATAGTAATGCCTAACCTAACAAAGAAGTGGCGTTCCAAAAATACTCATAATTTCCAATAGGTCAAATTCTTGAAATGTACAAAATAGGGGAGAGTGTTGTACCTCGGACCGGGTTGTACCTCGGGTCAGTTGACTTTCTTTCTTACCCACTGCAGATTTCTCTTCGATTTGGTTGAATTAGTGGTTTAATAATATCAGCGGTAGATGGCATCTAAATACACTTATCAAAAAATTGCAGCGTGGTGACTTGCAGAGCGTTTTGTGTTTTGTTTGATCGTAAGTAAATTATTTACCTATTTGTTATCTGTTAAAATCCGCTTCAAATGTAAATATATATATATATATATATATATATATATATACATATATATATATATATATATATATATATATATATATATATATATATATATATATTATTATTATTATCTGTAATGGACAATATATATTTACGCTTGATAATCATGAATGTATTTTTTGTCTAAACGCATAACCTAATATTAGAAAACAAAAAACAGCTGAAATTGTTACGTTGTGTACCTTGGGTCACCGGTAGGTCGGACCGGACCAAGGTACAATCTTATTGCGAATTAACATTATTTTGACTTTTATTTAAATTAATTGGTGTGTCTGTTACCAAAAAAACCTTTTATTATTGTTTCAGATAGTCATTTTAAAATGCCGAGAAGTAAAGTGGGTATCAAAAGACCACATTTAAATGCCCAGGATTTAACTGCAGCCGCAAATAAATACATAAGTGGTGAATTATCAATTAGGGAAGCAGCAAAGTGCTATAACATATCAAAAACCACGCTGATCAGGCACGTAAAATCCTTCAGGCAGTCGGGGGCTTCAGAATTTTCTTATGTTGCTGCCAATAATGTAAAACAAGTTTTTAATAAAGAAGAGGAAGCTGAGTTAAAAATATATCTTCTCACTGCTGCACGCCTCCACTATGGTTTGACGAAAATGGAAGTTCGTACTTTAGCATACCAGTATGCAACTGCAAATAACAAGTCTCATCCGCCTTCTTGGGACCAAAAAAAGATAGCTGGCAAGGAATGGCTGAGGCAGTTTCTTAGAAGACATGAAGATTTATCATTTCGTAAACCAGAACCTACAAGTTTGGCCAGATCAACATCCTTCAATAAAACAAATATATCTTCCTTTTTTAAGAACTACAAAGAAGCTTTATCTCGTGGAGATTTTTTTCCAGAAAAAATTTGGAATTGTGACGAGACAGGGTTAACGACTGTCCATGTACCACCAAAAATTGTAGGACCTAAGGGAATAAAACAATTAGGTCAAATGACAAGTGGAGAGCGAGGTCAAATGTAGCCTCAATAAATGCAATCGGAAATCATATTCCGCCAATGATGATATTTCCGAGGGTTAATTTTAAGCCTCACAGCTAAAAGGTTGTCCAGTTGGAACTATATATGGTTCAAATCCGTCCGGCTGGTCAAACGAAATATTGTTTTTGGAATACCTACAACACTTTAAAAATCATGTGAAACCAACAGTTGAAAATCCAGTTATATTACTTTTGGATAATCACGATAGCCACGTGAATGTAAGTGTCATTAATTTCTGTAAGAAGAATGGAATTCTACCGATAACGTTTCATCCCCACACCAGCCACAAAATGCAACCGCTCGATCGAACAGTTTTTGGACCGATGAAAACTTACTATAATACCGCCTGTAGTGAGTGGATGATTATGCACCCTGGACAACCTATTACGATTTACGATATAGCCGAACTTGCAGGTAAGGCATTTCCAAAAGCATTTACTACATCTAATATCCAGAAGGGATTTGAGGTGAGCGGTCTCTATCCCGTCAATGAAAACATTTTTGAAGATAATGAGTTTCTGTCTTCGTATGTAACTGATCGTCCTTTAAACCAGCTTACTGACAGTCGCGAGCAAGTCAATGTTGAACAGGACGGGGAAAAAACTAAAACTACAGTTAATGAAATGGAAGTCTCTACTTCTTCTACCTCAAATATTCGTCAAGCAGGAACTTCAGGAAGTTCTATTACACCCTATCCAAAGGCACCTGTTCGCAAAAAGAAGTTAGGAAGAGCAAGAGGAAAGTCACGAATACTTACCGACACTCCAGAGAAAGATGAAATAGCTACGCTTAAAAAGGGAAAGACGGTATCATTTGAGAAAGTGCAGGCAGTTACAAAGCAAATAGCGACAGAAGATATACAAAATGTGCCAAAGAGAGCTGCTAAGTATGATAGTGAATCAAGTTCAAGTGATGGAGGTACATTTGAGGACTTGGTAACTAGAGACGAAGAATTATTAAATGACCAAAAAATATATGACTTATCTGAAAATAACGAGATTAAAAAAGGAGACTTTGTTTTAGTGAAAGTGGCAGAGAAGAAATCTTTTGTTTATTATGTTGCCGAGATACTGAACAGTGGAATTAATAATGAACTTAGATATTTACGTAGAATTCTAGATTCCAATAAGTTTATAAACGACTCAACCGAGACTTATGATTTTTTACGCAATGATATTGTACGTAAACTTCCACAACCGCACAAAATAAGCGGAACTGCACGTCACGATGCGCACCTGAAATTTAATGTTAAATTTAGCGGATATAATGTCAAATAAGTTTTTATTTACTAAATTAATCATAATGTTCTGATTATTTTGAGATATTCAATAAAATATTTCAAGATTTGTTCTATTTTTTTTTTATATCTGACCCAAGGTACAATATATGCTGGTACATTATGAGTTTGTACCTTGGGTCAACATGCAAGGGCCTACTAAAATATGTTTTTTAACTAACTACTAAGCTTAAAATGTGTCAATAACTAAAAACTAAAAATTGACCCAAGGTACAACACTCTCCCTTAGACACAATGTATTAAATAATATTAGATTATTTTTAAATATTATGTTTATATAGGATATTATTAGGACTACAATTATTGATTGTAATAAAAATGATATTTTTAACTAACGTTTGACGTTTGGGAACGAGTGGCATTTTCACTCCGGACATCGTTTAAAAAAACGAAATTTTGCAAATTTGGTATGAACACACAAAGTTTAAAGTAGCAAAGACTGACTCAGAGAAATACTTATATTACAATACGCTGTTGATATAATTAACCAGAAGCAAGCGACGCCACTGATAAAAAAATAGAGCACCCACATCGAAAATAATAAGAAGAATTAAGTAAATTCTAAAAGTGAGATATAAGAATATAAGGTTAGTTATCTTGTCAGTTTGGAGGTGAGAAGAAGTAAACTACAACCGGTTGAAGTTCAGTTTGTAACAGTCTTGACGTTTTAAGAAGAGACTTGTAACTGATAAGTACTATAAACGAGATATTTGTTAAATGAATGTGTTCTTAAGACGTAAATAACGTTTATTTGATTGAAAAACGACATATTTATCAACGCAAACGACTTTTGCAGCAGGTTTCAGAAAATCCGTTACAATATACTCGTATAACAAAGTTTAACTAGTAAAAATACCTACTTAGCATGCTTTACCTACGATTTTTGTGTAGTATGTAATAGTAAATAGTGTCTCAAATCATGAAAATACTTACCTCAGGCTGATTTCCAAACGCCGCATAATGCAAACAAGAATCTCCTTCATTATCAACAACATTAACAGAAGCTCCATGTTTTAAGAGCAATCCGACTATGTGTACGTGGCCCTGATGTGCAGCCACTTGCCCAGCAGTCTTTCCACTGCTTCCAGCATCCATGGCTTCTCGAGGAACAGTCTCTAGAAGTTTTTGAACCGCTTCTGAATGACCTTGCGCCGCCGCTCTAACTAGCTTATCTGCCAAATCATTGCCCGGGACGTCTGCTTGATTGGCGGGCGAGGTCCATACTAAAAAGTAAATTGACTTTATTGCATGTTGCAGTATCTGGGCCTGGATACCGGCCTATTACTGAGCTTGAAATCCCAGCTCTTAGTTTCAAATTTGTCCTCATCTTTTGCAAAATCGCACAAAAAATAATATCAGTTACATAACTGCTCAACGAATAATGAAACATGATTAAATATTTCGCAAAATTCTCGATAAATCATTTCTCGTCGGTTATCGGAGGATCACGAGTAATATTTAGCCATGATTTTATTTCAGCGAGAGCTGAATCAATAATAATTGTCATTATTTTGTGATTGATAATGCCAATTGCCAAAATACGAGCACCAAAGTACGAGATTGCCAATAAATGTCAATTAAAATCACTTACTTGTTGGTTCCTGTCTTGGATTTTTAACAGGGTGCATTGTGTTTGCCAATTCAGCAGCACTTCCTGGTACGATTTTGACACATTGTGGATGTAGAGTCCATGCATGGTCGTCCATCTGCACTCGAAGATCACCATCTGAATAAACTTTCAAAACTCTTCCGCGCTTTCCAAGACACTAAAAAGTAAAGAGTGTAACTAAGTTAAATATAAAGATAGATAATGTATACTTTTACAAAAGTTTACGGGTTGAAATGAGTATCTTGCATAACACAGGATCGACAATATTAATTTTTACAAACATTTACGGATCTAAATAAGTGGCTTTCACAGCATTTAAGGTATTTAATTTAAACGAAATCAACGTGTACTAGATATCACCATCTCTAGATAAAAAAGATAAAAGGTAGTGGTTATCTGTGAGAGAAAAACAAAGGATGAAGTCGGTATATGAGAGATTCCGTGGGAACAACCTAGATATGTTGATAATATAAGATGTCACAGAATTGTAAAGAAATTTGATGAAAATATCAACTTTTATGGTTTTCCGCATTCAAAGTAACAAAAAACTTCAAAAACCAATTCACAAAGTAGGTACAAAAATTGTATTATAATATAGACGTTTTCATCTTTCTTGGCGTGTGCGTGTAAAAACACTTGCAATAAGTTGTTTCATCTGTCTTTCCTTGTCTAAGCTCGATTCGTTTACCTCCTCCAGTGGCAGCTATCTGTATTCGTAAAGAGGCCAAACTTATCACCCATACCGTATCGGTCAAACGCATCGGTGTTATTGATACAATACTGGAAGACGTGAGTGGTCTCTTCATTCCCTTCTCATCGCACTTTACCATGACAAACGTGACTCGCACATTTGAATTACGCATCTGTGTATCAGAGAGAGACGAATAATAAAAATTCCGTAGTAGCTTATTTCAGGCACACACCAAGAACGATGAAACCGGGTTTAGACAATATTACAAATAACTTCAGTAGAAAAATTCATTGATTTAGATATAGAAACGAAATGCCAACGTTAAAGGCCATTTAAACAAGAAATTAATGCAGATGGAAATGATACTTTAAATAAAATATTTTTACGTCAACCCTAAATGCGGTCCTGGGTTTAGCGAAGTCGAGAATATTCTTTTCTCCCGAATGTTCCACGCACCGTTTGTATCACGCGGCAACTTTCTAGAATTTCATCTTGTCGGTCTGATTCGGACACTGTCCTTCCGCTGGGTATTTCTAGAATAGATGTACTTATTATATAAGCCCGCTGAGGCGACCTTTGATTATCAGTATAAGGCCCATCGCAAATTGAGCACAGCCCACGCACATCCCACGCGCAGCCCACGTATGGTCCAAGTACACGTTTTTCAATACTAACGCATATTGAACACAGGCCCATGTCGAATATTTGTGTAGAATATGTTCTATCCATAAAATTAGGAAAACACAATTTACGAGTGTGCTGATTCTGGACTATGCATAGGGGATTGTTTTCGATACTATTCAATGAAAAGATATACTGTTTTCAGTATATTAGTTTAAATAAAGATTTTATTTTCTAGACCTTTTAATTTTTACCTAATATCCCACTAACAATTTCTAATCTGAAAATATAAATATCTTGAAAAGTTTCACAAATGCAAAGGGTAAAAAATTGAAATCATTCAACAAAAGACTATAGACATAATTTGAATAAGCTGCTTTTGCCGATTTGACTTTCTTATTACTAATTAGCATAATAAGCAGATATTTTACATGGTAAAACAATTTTAACAATTCTGTTAAAGATTAGATTTTTGTTTCATTGAAAACTGAACCTGATATTAATTTCTTGAGAACTTCTACATATGATAAGGGTAATAAATTGAAATCCTTCAACAAAATACTATAACAGGTAGATACCCATAATTTGAATAAGCTGATTTTGCCGATATTGACTTTGTAATTACTAATTAGCATAACAGGCAGATATTGTAACTGGCCACAATGCCGTTGAATATTCCGACTTTCATTTCGCTTGTTTTGAAAACTCCATCGGATATTAATTTCTTGGAAACTTTTACAATGCTGAGGGTACTAAGTTGAAATCCTCTAACAAAATACTATACAAAGTATTGTTGAAATAAGTGAAATAACGTAATAAACAACAGGAGAGCTAAAAAATACAAAAATTCCAGATCGTATTTTGTTTTCGAGATAAATTTAAATTTGAGAATTTTTTATTATTTTTCTACTTTCTTCATGTTCTTTTTTAAATTAATTTCAGTGTATAAAAGCCATCACAATATGAGCATCACGAAAAAGTACCATCAAATTTTATTTTGAAGTTTTCATCTTAGGTGTTCATAAACATTTTGCTAGGAAATGAAAATTTGTTTTTTTCCTTAGTTCTCGATTTGTTATATTTCTCATTTGATTTAATAAAAAATTAATTTAAATTAATTTTTTTTGAATAATTATAACGGTGACTTACATCCGAGTCGCTTAGCACAAATAAAAAAAATATTAGTTTTGTTCTCATGTAATCTTCATTACTAGTATCATACAAGACACTAAAGCTTCGAACAATTTCAATAAACTTTTCCATTTTCACTGAATAACAAAAAATTGGTCACACAAAACAAAATAACTGGTTAGGTAGAGACCCACGACCCACGAAACTGTGTTGCTAGCACAACTCTATCCACGCCAACCAAGTCTGGCAGTAGCCTAGCCGTGATTTGGGTTTAATATGCGTCGCTCCGTCTAAAACCACGTTTTACAAAATAACCCACGCGTGGGCTGCGCGTGGGATGTGCTCAATTTGCGGCGGGCCTAAGCGAAGTTTTTTTGTAAGCGATATCCATATGAATTGTAGGCGATAATTATTAATGTAATTAGAATTTATGATATTTGTAACTTATCCCCAAATCCTCGAATCCACAGAAAAACGTAACAATATACTTAAGGGTATTACAAATAACACTACATCTAATGAATTTTCGTTATGTTAAAATACATAAAATGGAAGATATGTCAGGACTTATGAATTTTTATAAAGAGATTCATAACAGTACTTGAGAGATCTATTATCCTAGGTGAATAGAATATTGGTAGTTAGTAATAAATTTATTATCATTTTTTTTTTGTTAAACAGCTAATGGTTTTGAATGAGAATTTCATTTTAAAAATGTGAATACATTAAGGCGATTATTCAAATACATCAGTATGTTTTAAAGACTCTGATATCAAAAGGTTAGATAAGGAATATAAAATTGTGCACTCCTAATCATTAAAATGATGCCTTCTTACAATGATTTCCCTGACTAGAATAAATTTACGGGCCTCAATTAACTGGTGGAATTAAGATTCTTTCTTAGGATAAATGAAGCCCGGGATCCAATTCCAGCGGAGTGAAAAACGCAGAATTGAAATAATTGTTAAGATAGCGAACAGACATTAATTATGAAACTAATAATACAAAAAGAGGAGGGTATAGGTTAACATAAAACATAACTACAGAAAAATTTTAAATGAGGAGCTGACAAGAATCGATGAAAATTTAAGTATAGAAGAACACTGGACCAAATGCAAGGACGCTATTCATACAGAGGCTAAAGGCTTTCTAAAACCTAACCAGGCTAAAATAAACGAATATTGATTTGACGAAGAATGTAGATCCATTAACCAACAGAAAAATGAAGCATACAAGAGACTTGATACTAAACTACAACAGATACTAAACAGGTGGGCGAATCATTTTGAAGAACTGCTTAGCGACAATCGTGAAGAAGACCAAATAGAAATTACCTTGCCTGAAATGGATGAAAACGATCAAGAGCCGCCCCCCACCGAAGAAGAAATTAGAGAAGCCATTGAAAAACTGAAAAATAACAAAGCCCCTGGTTTGGACAATCTTCCTGTCGAACTCTTTAAAAATGGTGGTGACACCCTTTTTAAACACATGCATAAATTAGTAACAGAAATGTGTCTACGGAAGGAAACGCCCGCAGACTGGAAATTAGGTGCAATGCACCCTCTTCACAAAAAAGGAGATATGTCTGTGAAAAAAAAGGTGTGTGATAATTATACAGGCATCACCCTACTTAACGTGGCATATAAAGTATTGTCCAACGTATTGTATAGAAGATTGATCCCCTATGCTGAACAAATAGTTGGGAACTACCAGTGCGGTTTCCGACCCAATCAATCAACAATGAATCAAATCTTCACAGTCAGGCAGATTCTTGAGAAAACGCTTGAGTTGGGAGTCGCCACCCACCGCATATTCGTGGATTTCAAAGCCACATACGACTCAGTCAACAGACAAAAACTTCTACAGGCTATAGTGGAATTTCAAATGCCTATAGTGGAATTTCATCTTGTTCAACTAACGGAACTTACACTCACAGGGGTAGAGAGTGTAGTCAGAATCCAAAACGACTTTTCAAGACCCTTCCATCGTAAAAATGGACTGAGACAGGGAGATGGACTGTCGTGTCTCTTATTTAACCTTGCACTAGAAAAAGTAATTCGAGAGTGCCAGATTAATACAACTGGCACTATCTTTAATAAATATGTACAAGTGGTCGGATATGCAGATGACATAGACATTATTGCTAGGTCCACAGAATCTCTAATCGAAGCATTTCGATCATTAAGGGCGTCTGCACTGAGAATGGGATTAAAAATAAACGCACAAAAAACTAAATATATGTATTGTATTAGATCAGGCAACCAGATACCTAGACTATTAATTGATGATCTGGAACTGGAAGGTGTGGACACCTTCGTGTATCTGGGCTCGCTGCTGACCAAAGACAACAATGTAAGCGAAGAAATTAAAAGAAGAATAGTGCTTGCCAATAAGTGCTATTATGGCTTGAGGAAACAGATGGCTCCAAAGCTACCCAGAAAAATTAAAATTACCATATATAAAACACTAATAAGGTCAGTGTTAACATACGGGTCAGAAACGTGGTCACTTACACAAAACGACCAAGAACTGCTTAAACGTTTCGAGAGAAAAATTCTAAGGAAAATATATGGAGGAGTCCAAGAACAGGGTTTGTGGCGTAGGCACTACAACTTTGAGTTATACAGAAGTTTTGGGGAACCTGACGTTGTAAAATGTATTAAACTAGCACGCCTTCGATGGATAGGAATATGTAATTAGGCGAGATGAAGACGCAACGATCAGAAAAATTTTCGACCGAAGAGGACCATTGGGAAGATTATCCCAGAGGAAGACCAAAACTTAGGTATCAAGATAACATAGAGGATGATCTAAAATCCGTCGGAGTTAAAGCATGGAGAAGAGTTGCCAGAGACAGGAGCGAATGGAAGATTGTTCTGAAGAAGGCTTTGGCTCATGACGAGCTGTAATGTAACTGATGATGATAGTATAACATATCACTATGCATGCAATGTACTATGCAATATGAAGCAATGCTGAATGTAGAACTAACGAAGTAAATGTTTTTTTTTTGACAGTTTTGGCTTGAAATCTCGGCTTATCCTAATTTTATTGAATTAAATTCCTTTGACAAATAAAATGGATTCATGGATGATTATACACCTGAAGGCGATAGGAAAATAAAGGGATATGAAGATGAAGAAATGTTTAACAAAAGCAAAAAAAACTAAGTAATGTAACAAAAAAAATCAGATCAAATTAAAATTAAAATTTTTATTTACAGTAAAAGTACTAATGTAACATTGTAATATTACTTACCTTTCGCATAATTCCTATCCACTCTCCATGGCCCTTTTGAAGTTCTTTGACTTTTTCAACGTCAGTTATTAGCGTAACGACGTCTCCTACAGTAAAACTGTCAACTTTTTGCAGGGCAATGGGGTTAAAAGTCCATCTGTTATTACAATCTTCATATTGGACTCTAATGTCACCTTTATCAGTTACTCTGTGGACCACTCCTATCTTACCCATATACTGAAAATGATATATCCCATTATGACTAATACACATGTTTATATAGTTAGCACCAGTATATATTCTGATTTTTGTACCGCTCAAACCAGAAGAGTGGTGACATCGAGCACTACAGGATACTTTGTTTTTTGTTAAGAATATCACCGATCAACCGCTCCTCAAGTTCAACACTGAAAAATGATGGATGTTCTAACAAAAGCCCCAATAGATGATAAAGATCGGCGTACAATCCAAATTTATACTGGAACTAGTAAGCCACAATAAGAACAAATCTTGGAGATGAACCGACGGAAGCGATCCAGATTCTGCGAGGTGTTAGACAAGGATGAATATTTTCACTTATATTATTCAACCTATATTCAGAGGAAATATTTAGTGAACCCTTGGAAAATTGCGAACATGGAATCCTTTTAAATGGAGAATGCTTAAACAACATGCGCTATGCAGATGACACCGTTATTTTTGCAGACAGTTTAAACAGCAACTAATAAGCAAAGTAAATGAAGTAAGTAAAAAATTTGGACTACAAGTAAACATATCAAAAACTAAATTTATGGTTATCAGCAAGAGACTGTAACGAGTCCGTTACTTAAAGAACCATTTACCTTTTTGTCACTGGAATCCTTTAATTTAATTATAAATTAAATTCATTTTTGAAATATTCTTAACTAAAAATTTAAATAACTCCAGTAAATTAATGTAACGAGTCCGTTACTTAAAGAACCATTTACCTTTTTGTCACTGGAATCCTTTAATTTAATTATAAATTAAATTCATTTTTGAAATATTCTTAAACCCAAATATTTAAAACTCCAGTAAATTTTATTCTCGAAAGTTGGCATTAAATCCCGCCCTCTGCGGAAGATTCTGAAAGTACATCGTCTTGACAGCCGTAGTACCGTGAGACGAGGACTTCGTCGCTGGATCCGGTCGAGTAAAGTTCGTTTGTGATCAAGTATTGCGGCTCGAGGTGCCATTTTCATGAATCTGGTTTAAGTTTATTTTATTTTTTTTACGAAGAAGCTGTTATTTTAGAAGGAAGCCGTTTTGTTACTTTGTTGTTTTTGGGAGATACTTTAAGTTTTGGACCACCTCAGCCGCCTACTTCCGGAATCCAGTGACAAGTCAGGGAAGAAAAATTTTTCAGTTTGTTTTATGGGGGAATATTTATTGGGACAAGTCGGGGAAGAAAAATTTTAAGTTTAGGGAATTAAGAATTTGAAGGACTTAATTTAAACGTACCTCCTGATATGAAATCCAGGTTTGGAGTAATACCCACCTGCACCTAGTTCTTCACCGGATCATCTCCAGGGAAACCTATAGAAACCGGCAGGAAGAACTGATCTTTATTTTTTTTTATTTTCTATTCTAATAATTTAACTTTCTACATCCTCTTCAAGGTTTAACTTTTGCTTCACTTTAATTTCAATATATATCATTAATAATAATTACATTCACTTTTTCATAAAATATTAATCATTGTAACTTAATTTCAATTATTTATTGTCTAACAAGGGATGAGATCATAACTCTCCCTTGAATCTCTCTTTGTCAGGTTATTGTGTGCACAAATATCCGGAGAGTTTCATTTCATTTGAAAATTTAAACATTTAATTAACGAAAACTAAATTATTAGTGAGTAGTATTTTTTATATTTATTATTTATACATAATTATTGAGTATAATCTTTGTCAGAATTTAAAATTAAGAGGTATATTAGGGGGGAAATTGTTTTATAATTATATTCAGGGATTTTATTGTAAATATAGATAAGTTAATTGTACATAAGAGGTGGTGGGTCATAGATAAGTATTTAACATAGTCTGTACATAAGTTTTGGGTAATTATTAAAGTTGTGGTTAAAAATTTAATATTTCAATTAGTACCCAACTTTTTATATTTCAGCAATACAAGATATCTCGGAAGAAAACATTTAACTTCCTGGCGCCCAAACATTCAGTAGAGCAACTTTATCTTTCTTCTGTTTATTTCTTGGTAGTTTCTAGTCATTAATTCTTACATCTTACGGTCTCTGTAGGGCATGCAAATTGGCCGAATCCCTCTTTGAGTGTCAAGTGGTAATTCTCCTGCATAGTCGCTAGCCAGCATTAATTTTATTATATTTTAAAATTCATATTTACCCTTTATTTATTTCTTTCACATAATTTATTTCTATCTAATCCCTTCCATCTTCTGTTATTCCACATATTAGTTCGTTGGTGTATCAAGGTACATTTTAGAGTTTACCCTATTGCTACACTGCACATTTTTGCTACCAATTCCATATTTGTTACACTTCCCTACTCTCACATTTCCTGTTACATTGTTTCACCAGAAACAAAATCCCATTCTGTTACATTCTCACACATTCTTGTTATATTGTCGACTCAGCCAATCCATTCTTGTTACAAGACGTCCAACTGCTTATCAAGAATACACCAGTGGACCGAGTAAAACAGTTTACCTATCTTGGAACAATAGAATAAATATTTACAAGAAGTAAAATGTAGAATAGAGAAGGATAGGAGTGCATTAAACAACACGGCCAAACTCTTTAAAAGCTTCAACCTTAATCTGGAGATAAAAATATGGCTCCGACGATGTTATGTCTTCTCGATATTATACTTGGTTGAATTCTGGAGACTCACTTGAAAATTTCGAACGTAGTTTTGAGGTTCGAATCGGTTTGAAAATAACCCTTTGTCCGCTTCTTGTCGATCGACGATGATAAATATAATAAAAGGTTGAAGTTATGCAGAAACATGTTGATTTATTGACAGCTACTAGTAATTACACAATATGATGTTCGTTAGGTAACTACTTATAATAAACTGTGCTCACATGAGCTCAAATCCCCAATTTATAATTTCACAAATAATTCATACCTCAGCACAGAGGTTATTGCTTCGATCTTACCATACCAACAAACTTTGAACCATTTGCTTACATTACAATTTGATCTAGGCCTTAATTGCGACACTTAGGAAGTTCAATTAGAAAATATATTAGTCTGCAATTTATTTAGTTGTTGGTAAATGAACTAATTATTAAAATATTATACGATATGGTTTTACAATGGCTCACTTATACATGGTGAAACTAAAAAAGATTAAAAAGTTAAGAATAATGTGAGATTACAAATTAAAGGATTAATTTGTCATTGAACACTCACTGAAGCGATAGAGAAAAAACTTAAAGCCTTCGAGATGTAGCTATACAGAAGAATCCTAAGGATATCCTGGACGGACAAGATAACCAACGAGACTGTACTACGAAGAATGGGAAAGAAAGAGAAGTGATGTATACGATTAAAAGGAGAAAGTTAGAATAAATCGGACACATAATCAGAAACGGCACTAAATACAGATTACTGAAATAATCCTTCAAGGCAAAGTATTCGGAAAGCGAGGAATTGGGAGAGAAGAATATCATGGTTAAAAAACCTAAGGAAATGGTTCTCCACAACAACTAATATATTTAAAGCATCAGTTAACAAAACAATTATAGCCAGAATGATCGCCAATATTCGAAACGAATAGGCACCAAAAGAAGAAGAACCGCTTCTCGGCCAACATTCGGAAATCATATCAATTAGCTTCGTTGGTTGTTACTAGCTGGAAATTATTTAAAATGTATAAAAGTATCAATATATAGTCCATGACCATAAAATAATATAGAAAAAATATAACTCACCTCAGCCATTCTAGGATTCCATCCTCCATGGCCTTGTTGCATGATCTTCAATTGTTCTACAGAAGCGTTGAATCGCACTTTGTCTCCCACATTAAATGGACATGGACCAGGTCTACCTGGTTGGACTACTGGATCTACGTTTTGGCCTAAAAATACTTTCTTATTAATAAACATACGAAAATTATAAAATTTAACAAAATATGTAACAATAAAACACTGAAAACTTTGTTTTCAAACTTCCACAAAATTTATTTTAACTATTATCACACAGTGGAAAAAACACACAGACGAAATATCCAACAAATTGTTTTAAAACGAACTTATGGATAGAAGGTGAAATGACTGAAAATTGGATGAAGATCAGAGTAATGTCGATATTGAAGAAGCAAAAACTAACAAACTGCAACAACTGTAGGGAAAAAACATTACTAAATACGACATCAGACACCAGTTCATACTTTACAGAGAGAAAAAAACTGGAGGTGATCAACAAATATATAGGGAAAAGCGATCGGAAAATGTTATGAGCACTATATAGAACTACAAAAATGTTCTTCCTGTCAAACAACTCTGACTGCATCGAGAGAAGTAAATTGTTAAAGAAAATGATTTTAGCTAAAAATCATAGCAGAAGAAGGAACCACAAATAAAATCAAAGAAGAAACGGCGTGACACAAACCGACTATTTGTCAACCATTCTCTTAAACATAGCGGTTCAACGTCAAGACGAGCGTTATGAAAGAAATTGTAGCCCTGTCTTTATTACAGGTTCGTAGACGGTATGAAGAGATAAGAATATCCTGGGAAAATCTTTAATATTATAAAGATTACAATTAAATATTTTGTTAATAATTGATGGATTCGACCGTTACTTGATGGAAATTCATTTTATGTAACAATAAAACACTGAAAACTTTGTTTTCAAACTTCCACAAAATTTATTTTAACTATTATCACTACAGCTGTTTCGGCTGATAGCCTTTCTCAAGTGATATATTTTTGGCATGCGTTTACAATTTATAGTCTCTAATGAAATAGGTTGAGGAGGGGAGAACTGTTTGTCTCAAGTTGGTCATTCAGAATTATATCTGTGTTTTTTAATTTATTGATTTCCATAGATTCTAACAAAGATAGCTTAAGGCCTTTATTTTGAACGTGAAGAATTTTAAATTTGTCATTAAAAGAATGATTATGATCTAGAAGGTGAAGTGCGTATGTCGAATCTGTTTTTCTATTCTTGAAAGCCCTTTTATGTTCTGCTATTCGTTTCTCAAAGTTTCTACCAGTTTGACCGATGTAAGTTTTTGGGCAGTCGCCACATTGAATTTTATACACACCACTATTTAAGTGTTTTTTATTTTGGCTCTTGTTATTTTTAATATATTTACCTAGGTTGTTATTTGTTCGGAAAGCTGGTGTTATTCCTTTCTTTTTTATATGTTTGGCAATTTTTGTTGTTATTTTGCCTGTATATGTAATCGAGCAGAAGGTACTGGGTTTTTTCTCTGGTGGTGGAAATACTATTTTCAGGGCTTTCTTGTGTAGTTTTTGATTTAACATTTTATTAATTGTTTGTTCGATGTATCCGTTGTTTACTGCTATTTGCTTAATTATATTTAATTCAGTCTCAAAGTTGTCTTTTGACATCGGAATTTCTGTTAATCTATGTAACATACTATGATAAGCTGCCAGTTTATGTTGTGTTGGATGGGATGATGAATTGTGTATAGTCGTGTCAGTATGGGTAGGTTTGTGAAATATAGAGAAGTCATGTTTGTTTTGAAGTCTGCTAATTTTTAAATCTAAAAAATTTATGCATTGATTTTGTTCTGATTCTATTGTAAATTCAATATGACTATGAAGTGAATTAATATACGATGAAAATTGGTCGAGTTGCCTGTTAGTTCCTGTGAAACATACCAGTACGTCGTCTACGTATCTCCACCAATATAAAAACTGTTTGAATACGGGATGTTTTGAAATCCTTGTCTCTAGATGATCCATAAAAATAGTCATATTGAATTTACAATAGAAACAGAACAAAATCAATGCATAAATTTTTTAGATTTAAAAATTAGCAGACTTCAAAACAAACATGACTTCTCTATATTTCACAAACCTACCCATACTGACACGACTATACACAATTCATCATCCCATCCAACACAACATAAACTGGCAGCTTATCATAGTATGTTACATAGATTAACAGAAATTCCGATGTCAAAAGACATCTTTGAGACAGAATTAAATATAATTAAGCAAATAGCAGTAAACAACGGATACAACGAACAAACAATTAATAAAATGTTAAATCAAAAACTACACAAGAAAGCCCTGAAAATAGTATTTCCACCACCAGAGAAAAAACCCAGTACCTTCTGCTCGATTACATATACAGGCAAAATAACAACAAAAATTGCCAAACATATAAAAAAGAAAGGAATAACACCAGCTTTCCGAACAAATAACAACCTAGGTAAATATATTAAAAATAACAAGAGCCAAAATAAAAAACACTTAAATAGTGGTGTGTATAAAATTCAATGTGGCGACTGCCCAAAAACTTACATCGGTCAAACTGGTAGAAACTTTGAGAAACGAATAGCAGAACATAAAAGGGCTTTCAAGAATAGAAAAACAGATTCGACATACGCACTTCACCTTCTAGATCATAATCATTCTTTTAATGACAAATTTAAAATTCTTCACGTTCAAAATAAAGGCCTTAAGCTATCTTTGTTAGAATCTATGGAAATCAATAAATTAAAAAACACAGATATAATTCTGAATGACCAACTTGAGACAAACAGTTCTCCCCTCCTCAACCTATTTCATTAGAGACTATAAATTGTAAACGCATGCCAAAAATAGATCACTTGAGAAAGGCTATCAGCCGAAACAGCTGTAGTGATAATAGTTAAAATAAATTTTGTGGAAGTTTGAAAACAAAGTTTTCAGTGTTTTATTGTTACATAAAATGAATTTCCATCAAGTAACGTCGAATCCATCAATTATTAACAAAATATTTAATTGTAATCTTTATAATATTAAAGCTTTTCCCAGGATATTCTTATCTCTTCATACCGTCTACGAACCTGTAATAAAGACAGGGCTACAATTTCTTTCATAACGCTCGTCTTGACGTTGAACCGCTATGTTTAAGAGAATGGTTGACAAATAGTCGGTTTGTGTCACGCCGTTTCTTCTTTGATTTTATTTGTGGTTCCTTCTTCTGCTATGATTTTTAGCCAAAATCATTTTCTTTAATAATTTACTTCTCTCGATGCAGTCAGAGTTGTTTGACAGGAAGAACATTTTTGTAGTTCTATATAGTGCTCATAACATTTTCCGATCGCTTTTCCCTATATATTTGTTGATCACCTCCAGTTTTCTTCTCTCTGTAAAGTATGAACTGGTGTCTGATGTCGTATTTAGTAATGTTTTTTCCCTACAGTTGTTGCAGTTTGTTAGTTTTTGCTTCTTCAATATCGACATTACTCTGATCTTCATCCAATTTTATACTTTGAAATTGAATAAGCTACAACGAAAGCATGCTTAGTCAAAAGAGCAGCGATGTTGACTCCACCACGGTGACCCACCCAACCGCCTCCATGGAGGTCATAGTTAACCTCCTTTCATTAAATATATGGATGGAGAAGAATGCGAAGTTAGGAACATACAGAAGATGCATACCGAGCATACAGAGTTTTAAATGGTACCAGATGCCATTAAAAGCACTGAAATCGAATCGAATCGATCAAGTTAGTTTGGAACTGTCTTCAGGATCTGATTCTGAACGGAAAAAGTAACACAGTAAATGTCTAACTGACAGATAGTGCGGATTGCAGATTTTGTCAGACTTAAGACGAGACAGCGGAATACTTTCTGTGCAACTGCCCAGGGTGCGTAGAATAAGGCTCAATCCATTTGTCTCACCAAAGCCCATAATATATTTTCTTACAACACCCTGTTGGAAGGACAACTTTAACCTAGAGATAAGTCACAATAGACCTATTAGGTCGAGTGGATGGGTGATTAAGCTCACGTTCATATTGAACCTAACCTAATCTAGATATTCAAACTGTCAAGCACTAACTTTGTTATTCTCTTCTATATCCATATATTATAGTTAAATAGTTTATTTATCCATTTTCTTTTTTGGTTTTACAGCAGTTGTTTGCTTCTTTTTTACTTATATCTAAGTTTTTATCATTTCTAGCTTGGTTTTTAGGTTTGATTTTGGCATTACATTCTGTATCTTGCTATTTATTTTTCTTTTTTATTTTAGTCTACCATAGAACTTCTTAGACCCACTCCCAAATGCTTTCTTTTATAATTTTCCATATTTCTTAGCTATTATTAAATTGTGTAAATTTTCTATTTAGAGTTCTCTTGTACTGTTCTTTTATGCCCTTATTTGTATCTAAGTTTATTAAAAAATTATGAAGACTTAAAGAAATCTAATAGGACTTGTGTACTTTTTCTCTCTGCTAATATTATAATGCTGTAATAAGTAGTATTTTATACTAAAAGTTAAAATTATGCAGAATACTAAAAAAAATAAATTTATAAATAAAAGTCAGAAGAAACAACTTGTATCCCCAAAAGGAAAATTTGATACATACCTAGAATAGGAAGATGTTCTGGATAATACTGACCACCAGAGGCAGCTTCTACAAATTTTATATCACAATTGCCCTTATGTCCTATCCTATATACATTTGTTGAACCAGAATACCATCGGACGTTAGCTACTGACCTACTACTTTCGTTGTCCCATCCTCGTATGTCCAAAACAACACCAACATTACCTGGAAAAAATAAATTATTACAAATATCATGTACTTATTCAGCTGTCTAGGTTGATCAGAGGTGAGTGCATCCTCCTTTGCTGCCTAATGAAGTGAGGCCACTAAAAAATCAAAACGTATTGCCAAAACCGTCACTTCGAAGACCCTGACAAACCACTAAGTTATAATCTGTCTATAGTGAAATTCACACTGGGAGTGCAGTACAATAGGGCAATGCTTTTCTTATGGAGAATAAACGCACAGGGTTGTCGACCTTCGCCAGCTGATGATTGCTCACTCAAGAGCGTCGCATAGCATTGGCTTGGATAAAATGCATTAGCTGGAAGTACGAGTATAATCTTTTATATTATGTATACAATAGAATAAAAAAGCATTGTAAAAGTTGTAATAATTTAATACTCCACAAAATGTATAACCTTGGAAAGTACTAATCATTTTTCGAATGGTTTGTACTTGAAGTAGTTATTCCTTTATACAAAGCTCGAATAGTTTCGAGGTAGATTCACAAAATTATACAATCATTGTGAAAATATGTACAAATATGTAGTGATGCCTAGAAATTAATCATATATCATTTATAAATGATGTCATTCAACGAATTCGAATAATTCCTGGAAATATATACCTAAGCATTTTGATGACTTATTGACAACAAAAAATATGAATTTTGTTTATAAAACGTCGACCTGATATACACTGCGCGTCACGAAAAAGAGGCCACCTAGAATTTTGTAAGATTTTTTCAATAACTTTTAATAACTAATTTATAATATAATATTTTTTCAATAACTAATTTATTCTATTGTAACTAAATTCCCACAATGCAGAAACACTTTTAGCGTCGTTTAGGCACACACAAACGGTGCCAATAGGTAAATTAAGGGTAATAAGTTTGCAGAATTGATATCAGTTTTAAGACTTCGGATAATGCACGTGTTGTTTGTATCTTATTTTTAATTTCTATTTAACTGGGAATAAGCCACAATTAAAGATAAAAATACGTTTATTGACGTTTCAATTTCCACTTCGGAAATCGTTCTCAAAATACAAACAGTAACCAGTTAAATAGTAATTAATTTAAAATGCCACAAAAAAATAGCTTCAGAACAATAAGTACCTTATTTTTCTTGGAATACGGCTATTCTGTTTTCAAAAAACCTTTCACTAGTGTACAGTTGTTCGAAGAGTAAACTTGTGCAATTTTTAAATTAAAAACTTCGGCTGAGAAATGTGCTAGATCTGTTCAAATTGTTACTTTGATTGGTAATGGAATGAGTCAAAGAAGTGGCCAGACAGCTTGGAGTCAGTCGTTGTATGGTCTCAAAAATTTACCAACGATTACCAACGTAGAGACTGGATCTCACCAACGACGACCAGGATCAGGCCCGAGAAGAATTAGGACGGCCGGAGAAGACCGTTTTTTACAACGCACTTTTTTACAAAATCGTTTCTTTACGGTAGATCAATCCAAAACCGTTTTCAAAATGCTCACGGGTGGACTTTAAGTACTTCGACCGTGAGAAGAAGGTTGAGGGAATTTGGTCTAAGGGCTCGATGTCCAGCAAACAGGACCTTTTTTAACAGCAGCACATTGGACGATAGAAGATTGGAAAAATGTTTTGTTTAGTGATAAGTCTATGATGGTTCTTTATGGCTCAGATGGTCGCATCAAAACATACAGAAGAATTTTGTAACAGTTATTGTCTTGTGACAAGACGTCGAGTCATGCATAAACGTGAAACTCTTATTTAGAAACCACTCCTGGGTCTGGGAAAGCATTTTTGCGTCCTGTCGCAATGTTCCTTCGACAATGTAGAGTCTACCAATTCCTTGACTGTTTATGATAGACCACACCATGATATTTGGGGGATGTTTTACCGTCGGTACAATACAATCAGCTTTATTTTTTTCCACAGGTCTTCCCATTACAAATTCAGCTCTATTCATGAGGATCTGCACGGTAGATTCGTCCGAAAAACAAACCTGGAATATTTTTATTATTTTAGAATCAATGACAAATTGATTAACTGTAAACTACATAAAAGAAAAATAATGTTAAGCAATGTTATTTACCTGATTACAATCATCAATGGTCCAATCTTTGTGATCTTTAGCCCACTAAAGCATTTTGTCGTAGGTAAGGCCTACTCGTAGGCCTACTCAAGGTATAGGTAATACCTTCAGTAGGCCGTACTACTTAAGGCTGTTTTATCGGTGCACCAAAATTTTTTCTCTGTTATTTACCGACGAAATGTCTCGAAATTTAGACATGTTATACGAAATTATGTTGCTTTAAACTGATGGTTTTACTTTTTTTATTTTTTTGAATTTTCTGTTGAAAAATTGGATTATACTGTTTAACGTTCTATTATAACCAAACTTTTCACGCCCATCAGTTGAAAGAGTTTTTTTTTCTGTAATCGTTGATTCTTTTTTCACCTTTTTGTGTCCAGTAATAACCGAGAAAAGCGTATTCAAACTTTGAAGAAAATTGCTAAAAAATACTGAAATCTAATAGTGAAACGTGTTCCTCATCATTGTCGCTGAGCTTGATCGTTATCGCATTAGTGACGTCAAATCTCATGAGCGTACGGTACGGTCTTATTTTTATTTCTCTATGGGTACGGTCAGTTAGTTCGCTTGAATTAGAATCCATTTTAGTTCTTTCATTCTTGTATTTTCTTTATCAACTTGCTTAGTTTTTACAGTTTACAGTATTCTTATTTATTTTGAAAACATTGAAATTATTTAGTTTACGTGTATGTTAAGTAATATATTATTAGTTTAGTGGTATAAGTTAAAAGTTCTTTAGTTTACGCGTATTTTTAAGTATTACATTAGGTTAGTGATATAAGTTATGAGACAAGATAAAAAATGAGTCCCAGTAAACGTCCTATGTCAAGGAAAAGGAGAGCAATTGCACTGCTTTAGTATTTATTATTTATATTAAAACCGTTTTTAAAAGCTTTTATTTAACTTATATATATATATATATATATATATATATATATATATATATATATATATATATATATATATATATATATATCTATTCAAGGTTTGAATAATCATTCTCCATTTTCATGCAACTTTTCTAATATGGAGATTATCAAAGAAAAAATGGACGGATTGATAAGTACATTGACTTTTAAATGTCAAATGTGGAATATTGAAAAGGAGATAGCAACATAGGATTCTGGTAACAATTCACTGAACTTGAATGGTTCTGGTTATTCAGACATACAGCAGCAGCACGCTGCATTAAATATACCTGTGATTTCCTACAGGCAGTATGCAAAACATACGGAAACAGTTGCAGATATCATCGGCCAAACACTTTGTGATTCCTTAGAAGAGGCTGGACGGGAGGAATTAGCTTTAGCCAAAGAAATTGGTGAAGTAGATTCCGACGGAAATGGGTTAATAACCGTTATAGCTGAAGGTGCTTGGTCAAAAAGATCGTATAAAGTAAACTACGATGCTTCTTCAGGTGTAGTACCTGACGTTGTAAAATTTATTAAATTAGTACGCCTTTGATGGATAGGACATATAATTAGGCGAGATGAAGATGAAACGATCAGAAAAATTTTCGACCGAAGAGGACCAGTGGGAAGACGATCCAGAGGAAGACCAAAACTTAGGTATCAAGATAACATAGAGGATGATCTAAAATCCATCGGAGTTAAAGCATGGAGAAAGTTGCCAGAGGCAGGGGCGAATGGAAGATTGTTCTGAAGAAGCCTTTGGCTCATGACGAGCTGTAATGCCACTGATATGATGAAATAACTATCCACGATTTGTGTTTTATTCACCAATTGGATACTTTTCTTATGTAACTGTAACCTATAAATATATTAAAATAATGTATATTCCATTCAGAGAACATTTTCCTCGCAGTGCGTCGCCTCGAAATACTTGCCAGATAAATACATTTACTATTATGATGGTTTCGCAGGTACCAATTTTTTATAGATAAATAAAAATATTTTTTGTTTAATTTTTACTACGCTAATATCAGTTTTCTCTAACAAATATTAACAAAATATTAATTATATATTAATATTAATATAACAAAATTTAAATTTATTATAAATAAACACCATGGTGTTTTTTGCAGTCACGTTTCACAAATTTTTATTTAATACTATGTTTAGCTAAGACATATAAATTAAAAATGTGATTAATTCTTTTTAAAACATTATCTACGATAATTAATCTAAAAAAAAGTATTCCGACAAAACTAATTTGAATGGAGAATAATGCATTTACTTTAAACAACCCGTGAGCCGGCGCCACTGAATTAACATCCAAACTATTAGGAAGTCACGTAGCAGTGTAGGAAAGTAAGTGATACGCCCACTTCAAATCGCCGTATGCTATAACTGCGAAAACAGCCTTGTCGACATGACACATTCTTCTACCCCACCAACCCGTCCCGCCAGGGTGGTGGGATATGGCCAAAACCTCTATAAAAAAATTCCGAGTGGTCTTAGAATTCAAATCATATACTCCACATAATCACGACCAAATTGACGAATTAAACAAAAACATAAATAAAAACCTTCTCGAAGCCGGACTAAAGGTCGCAAAGAAAACAAGACAAAATAATCAACGATAATAAGCAACTAATGAAGGAAAGAAGGTAACTACTAGCAGAAAACAAACGCCGTACTCAAGCATGCGTAGAACTAAATAAAAAAAATATATAAAGTAACTAAAATGCGAGAACCAAAAAATTAAACAAGAACTTAGTAGAGCAAGTCATAGAAAACAACAGAGGCTTAAAATATCTAAGGAGAACATTAAGTGTACACAAGATTATCAAAATTAAGGACACCAATAACAAAGAAGAAAAGGAAAAATATAAATTAGATAAAAATAGTTTTTATTTAATAAAGTTGGTGAATTTTCGGCTACCGGTTTCAAGGCTTACAACATTTGCCCCATCATCAGGCCCCAGTACGTTATTTTTATATGTATTAAAAACCAAAAGATGTCAGATACAGGAAAGCTCTATAAATTAAGGTAATTCTGAGAATCACCTTCCCCCTTAAAGAATACATTCATTCGTACTTCTGAATTTCAAGATAATCTTCAAATCAAACTGAATATCAAGATATTATTATAGTATATATTTTGTCTTCAGCTGTTGTGACACTACAAAGGCTGTTGCAATTTTAATATATTGTGTTTGTGTTTTATTGGCCAGCTAGAACTGGATTGACCAGAACAAAGTATATGATCTATGTATAGGAGACCATTTTGTTAATCAAGCTATCATGATAAACATATTTGGAACCTTGGTAAAATTTGACATATTAATTCCAAATTCAGCAGGATTTTCCCAGTATTCTTACTATTGATATACCACTTTCCAGAAACAAAGCAGCAATCAATGAAATGGAGACATTATAGTTCTTTAAGACCTAAGTAATTCCGTGCTCAAAAATCTACTAGAAAAATTCTTGATTCACTTTTTTGGGATTGCCATAGACTAATCTTGACATAGAACCATAACCGGGAATGACTATTCGACGTTACTGATCATTAGGGAGACAAACAATTATGGAGAAAAAACGCATAAAGTTTGAACACAAGTAGCTTGTTACCATATAAACTATTCGCGATTCAGAGTTAGAATTGGTTGAATTACCTTTTCACCAGATCTGGATCTGGAAAGATAAACTTTTTTGAAGTCTAGAGGCCTTGCATATTCATTGTAACAAATGTATACAATTAAAAAGAGAGTAAATTTAATACAGTAGACTCTCGATTATCCGAGCCTTGGTTATCCGAGCCCCTCGGCTAACCGAGGCAAAATTTTGTCTGGGGTTTACTTTTATAGCCGTACTTGTTGAATCACAATATCGAGTAATAAAAAAAGGGTCGATGGTCACAAGTTATATCGGCAGCTGTTATATGGGCAATCCATTGAAAATTGTGGATTATTGATAAGAAGAGAATTGTGTTTAGGTCAATCTGATGTCGAGTTAGTATTCTCAGAAATTGGTCACCGCCTATTTCCAGAAATTTCTGTGTCGTGTTTTGTCTACAACTTCCTGTTACTTTCTATGTTAATCAGTGTGAATTGAACTACCGATTTGTTTGTTGTCGTTCAGATCGTCAAATTATTTGTTTGCTGCCGTTCAGATCGTCAAATTAAGTCAAATTACTGTACGGTGAAATTTTTGCTTTTATGTACTGTTTTGTGTATTTATTCGAGTTTATAAGTTTAAGTTTCATAATTAATTTTTCAGTTGATTTTTGTGAGTAAGAGAGCATCTTTCTGTGCAATATGAGTGAAAAGCGGAAGAGAGTAGTTGTATCTTTAGAAACAAAAGTGAATGCAATTAAGAGGTTGGACAAGGGTCAATCAATAAAGAAGGTTGCTTCAGATTTAATTGTCGGAGAAGTAACTGTTGTAGATTGGAAACGTAAGCGGAATAAAATCGAACAGTAGGTTAACCGAAGTGTGAGTGGTGGTAGTGGATTGGCCCGGAAGACTATGAAGAAAGAAGACTATGAACAAACTTCTGAGGCATTGTTCTTGTGGTTTTCACAAATGAGAGGATTGGGCAGTCCGATAAGTGGTCCAATACTCCAAGCAAAAGCTATCGAATTCCAGAAGAAGTTTATGGATGGAGGAGAAAACTTTTGTGCTAGTGAAGGATGGATTGACTTATGGAAAAAGAAATATGGCATCCGATAATTGAATATTTGTGGCGAAAAACTTTCTGCTGACTCAACTGAAATTGAAACATTTTATTTAAAATTACAAGACATTATCCTTAAAGATGGACTAACTCAAGACCAAATATTTAACTGTGATGAGACAGGCCTTAAATTTAAAATACTTCCATCGAAAACACTAGCTGCTAAAAATGAAGGAACTGCACCAGGTTACAAAAAAAGCACAGAGAGAGTCACAATCATGATTTGCAACAATGCTTCTGGTTCATTAAAATTAAAACTTCTTTTAATCGGAAAATCCAGAAATCCAAGAGCATTCAAAAACATCCAAATAAATTGCTTACCTACAATCTATAGCAACCAACGCAATGCATGAATGGACTGTAACACTTTTAAGGACTGGTTTTTTAATGACTTTGTGCCAGTCATTGATGCCTACCTAATAAACAAAAATCTGCCTCGGAAAGCTTTGTTGTTGTTGGACAACGCACGATCCCACTCAGATGCGAGTTAATTGATTAGTGGTGACATACGAGCTGTGTTCCTTCCACCCAATGTGACGTCTCTCATCCAACCCCTAGACCAAGGCGTTACAAAAGCAATGAAGAGGAATTATCGGCGGAAGCTTCTTCAGGTACTGCTAACTAAGCTGGATGAAGGGCTGACTGTAATTGAGACATTGAAGAAAATCACGGTTAAAGATGTTTGCTATTGGATTGCACCTGCTTGGGACGATGTAAAAGTGTCCACTATTCAGAAGTCGTGGAAAAAATTATTTAAGATAAACAACAAAACACAAGACGTTCAAAATGAAACTGATGGCTGTGAAGTTGATTATATAACCAACCTAGCCAATCAATTACCAGTAGAACAACCAATCGGAAACCAAGACATCATCGATTGGATGAATCTAGATGAAGAAATGGAACTGACAGATGATGCAATTGCCAATCTAGTTCTAAACGTCACTCATGAAGAAGATACAGATGAGATAACTCAAAAAATTTCTCATTCCGATGGATTGAAGTCCCTTGAAGCAGCCCTCGCATACATCGAGCAACAAGAAGAATCGACACCATTAGACGTGCTCAATTTTCAACGTTGGCGCAACATCGCCGCCTTAAAAAGAGGAATGAAGTTAAAACAAAAATCAATCAAATACTTTTTTAAACAATAACATTTATAAGGTAAATTGTTTTATCTTTTATACCAATTTTATATTAGTTTTTAATTATTAAAATAAACACATTAATCATTATTTGCGTAGGTACACATTTTTTTATCAGTACATATAACCAATCTATGTTAACCGAGTTTTTTCGGTATCCGAGGTAGTCCTGGTCCCAATTACCTCGGATAATCGCGAGTCTACTGTAATAAAATAGCTTGACTGTCAAATTTTGTTTGCTTCCATAGTAGTCTAAGAATTTTATAATACATCCTCGTAGTTATAGGTATAGATCTACCAAATATCACAGCTTACCTATAGCGTATTTGTTCCGATTTTTAACAGTTTTACCATACCAACAGACCTATAAAGACTTTATCAATTTGAAATAATGTTTACTAAAAGGTATAATCCGACAAGCGAGAGCTGGCGGGTGAGCTGCGCGAAAATAGAAAAGGAATTATTCTAAGAGAGATAGGAGAGGTACTTAATCGCGATTATAGGTATATAGTATAGGTACTTAAACGGTTATACACGATGTGAACTCCTAGCCGACTGCAATAGAAATGAGCAATCCCTTCCACTTTTCAATTTGTTCTACACGCAACCCGCCAGCTCTCGCTTGTCGGGTTATATATCGAGCAAAAACAAATACATCTAAAAAAATCAGGCATCAACGATTGCATATCACAACATGTAAGAATACTGTCTTTTAATGATGGTATATACCGATCTGCACATTTGTACATTTCTTTACTTTTATATTTTAGCAATAACTTTTGATTAAGTGGAAATTGTAACAAAAGTTCAGTTTTTTTAAATGTAATGAAATTCAAATTTTGTTACCTTCTCCACCATCTTGATTTCCCCATTCCCAACTGTGTGCCCGCACAACTTTGGCTCCATAAAATATTCCACGCAATTCAGCTTTCCGACTGCCTGATCTCGCAGGTAAATCAACCCTACAACAAAAGCAATGTAAAGTAAACATTAATGATATTTTCATGTGAACAACGTACCCCAACGACGTGGTCGAGTCAAATCTCTTAAAAGGATGTGTCATATCGTGTTCATCTCTACAGTAACACCACTGGCATAGATCATAATCATAGCATATTGTGCATTTATATCTCATTCCACTTACATGCCCTCTAGTACAGCTATCACAAATAACATTTGGATGTTTAACACCTAAAATGAATTATTTATTTACAATTTAAAATTGAAAAGGGAAATTCCCAGTCGTTGGCTGTACACCATAGTTTTAAAAAACTTATATAAGGAAGTGAAAACTTCTTGTGTAAACTAAAAAATTATCCAAAATGGATTTATAAATTTTCAGAACGTTTTCAATCGTATCGGACCATAATCAGTGAAAAACGTATATAAAGTAATTAGAACTAGGCACATAATGAAGTCAAATGATCCTTAAATTACGATGATAAGGGATTACATTTTTTAAGGGAACGAACAAATTTCCGGCTCGAACAAGAACTTGTTCCACTGAATGGTAACAACCAACTCCACTGAGAACTTCATCATCCTTAGATTTTCTTTGGAGTATCGTAGTGTGTATTACATTGCCTCGGAGGTGTTACATCAGCAAACGCTTCTCGTTATAGTGTCAGTTGGTTCAGATATCTAATTATTCTCGTTATAGTGTCAGTTGGTTCAGATATCTAATTATATGGTGACAATCGAGCCAACCTTTAGTTTTAAGGTGGTAAGCCAAGCTACCTAACCAATTTAAAGTTAAGGCAAGTTAACGAATGTAGAATGTATAGAGAAACTAAATAGAAATACTGATAACATAGACCAAAAATGGGAGAATATTAAACATGCCGTAATGTTGGCAGGGAGAGAAAATTTAACACCGAAAGTAAGGAAACATAAAGAATGGATGAATGAGGAAATACTACAGTTGATGCGTGAAAGAAGGGTACACAAAACAAATAATCCGATAAGATACAAAGAAACAGATAAACTGATAAAAAAGAAAATAAGAGAAGCTAGAGAAAGATGGCTAAGTGAGCAATGCCAGGAGTTGGAACAATGGGAGCGAAAATATGACTTTTTTAATGTACACAAGAAGATTAAAGAAATGACAGGAAGGAGAAGAACAACACAGACAGGACAGATCAAAGATACAGATGGTATATTTATAACAGATTTACAACAAAAAATGAATCGATGGACAGAATACATATCACAACTGTTTGATGACAAAGATAGACAAGAAATCTCAAACGAATATACAGATGATACAGGGCCTGATATAATCAGAGAAGAAATAGAATATGCAATCAAACAAGCAAAAAGTGGTAAGGCCCCCGGTCCTGATGAAATTCCTGTAGAACAGCTCAAACTTAATGACGATGAATCTATTAAAATACTCCTAGATCTATGTAACACAATATATAGAACTGGAATAATACCTAGGGAATGGCTCCGTTCGACATTTATACTACTGCCAAAAAAGGCAAATACAAAGGAATGCAACGAATATCGTACGATAGCTTTGATGAGTCATGCTCTAAAACTGTTCTTAAAAATAATCCATAATAGGATCTATAGGAAATTAGACGTAGACGTAGATGGGATGTAGACGTAGATGGGATTCAGAGTGCTATCTGTGAACAAGCACTCGAGGAAGGAGATCTTGGTCTGATAATAAATGGTGAGACGATCAACAATATAAGGTATGCTGACGATACAGTTCTCCTAACGGGAACGCTAGTAGTACTACAACATCTCGTTCAAAGTCTCAATATATACTGTAACAGTTACGGCTTGAAAATTAATTAATTTGAAAAAACTAAATTTATGGTAATCACGAAATCAAAGAACATCAGAGCTAATCTTGTAATAGACAATACAACGATTGAGCGTGTGCCCTGTTATAAATATCTAGGTGCTTAGATAACAGACGATACTGATCAAACAAAAGAGATTAGATGTAGAATAGAAATCGCTAGATCAGTCTTTAATAGAATGCGCAAACTCTTTTGCAATCGTGATATCAATATAAAGTTACGAATACGAATGCTGCGGTGTTATGTCTTTTCTACCCTGTTATATGGAGTTGAGACTTGGACACTAAAACAATTGACCATAAAAAACATCGAAGCTTTCGAGATGTGGTGCTATAGACGCATTCTCAGAATATCATGCATGGACCGCGTCACGAACACGCAAGTACTCCAAACTTTAGACAAAAGATGCGAAATTCTAAATAAGATAAAAACTAGAAAGATGGAATACTTGAGGCACATTGTGAGAGGTGAAAAGTACGAACTTTTAAGAAACATCATGCAGGGCAAAATTAAGGGCAAAAGAAGCGTGGGAAGAAGAAAAATATTGTGGCTTCGTAATCTACGTGAATGGTTCGGATGTAGTTCGATTGAACTTTTTAAGCGCGCTGCTAAAAAAGTCGCAGTGACCATGATGATTTCCAATCTCCGCTAGGAGTGGCACGAGAAGAAGAAGAACGAATGTTTCGATTTTGAATTATTCAGTTTAAGTCATCTATATATGTCATTATCTTTCCTATTGCCGGCCATAATGTAGCTTCGCCTCTTTTAAATAATTGTAAACTGTTTGTCCTTGTGTAGTGTAGTGCTATGTACAATTTTATGTTTATGATATTCTGTGATTGTTGGATAAGCCAAAATTGACAAAATGCACCTGAAGATGCTCCAGGAAGCGAAAGCACTTGGGCAAGATTAAATTAATAAAACTGTGCTCCATATCTGCCTTTCATTTAATCAAAGTTCATCTATATATTTGTTCTTTGCGGCTAATACTGTTCATTAACTTAACCCATTGTGATTTTTGTGGTTCGCAATATTATTCGGGAACACACGAGAAAACGAAACCAAATCATTCGATTCATCCACAGGATTACGACCAGTATCGATAACCAACAATTGCTTGGAGAACTCCGTTTTTGGGGTTTCGTCTTGGAAGTTTTATACTCTTAATATATTACTTACTATAATGTCTTTTGATATTTCTTATTAAGTCGCCCCAATAAGACATGATCTATACTTCCCTGGATTCTTAAATTTGTTCTGTTGTCTATTACATTTTTTTATTTTCTGGCCAAATTTTTCGTTTCTTTTTTTTAACATAGTTTAGTTTAAGTTCCCTGGATTGATGTTTGACTACTAAGCTGTTAAGACTGTCAAGAGATTTATAATTTTTTCGAGAGTTATTAGTTTTTATAGAACAATTTATACTTACATTTTTTTATATTTTTATACTTACGTTTTACATTTATTAAAATTGTCCACGCTGTACTTGGTTTATTGCTTATTATCTTGTACTTCTCTATTTTGGACTATATTCTTATGTTTTCTCTTTTCATTCAATTATTACTGTGTGTATTAAATCTTGACTAGAGGACATTATGAGAATCTCGTGTTCTCTATATCTTTGTCCAGATTTAATTGGGAAAATTTTGCGTATGGATAAGTTTTCACTTGGAAGATGCTGGGCATCTTGCCCAAGTTTTCTGAGTGTTTATTTATAGGCTCATACACTCTTAATCCACTTACTAGAGCTGTTTTAATGCTGTATTTGTAAAATCCGTAATGCGATAAATCACCTAACGGGGAGAAGATTAAGAGGACGATCACCAACTATATGGATATGGTATACAAAAAGATAGTTTTAAAGCTTCGCCAGATTGTTCCTCGTATTGCTTAGACTAGCTTTACTTCACAAAACTATTATCCCATAAGTGATGAGTCTTACTGTTTTTACTGCAAAGTTTTTGAACATCATTACAGCTGTTAGTGCTTTGCAGATTATCGTTTTTTTTATGATTGAGTGTATTATCTAGGATGCCTACTTATTTAACTTCAGTTTTCTACTCAAACATTTTTTGCTCCCATGTTTTGGGATGGTTTTAAGATATTGAGTTACATTTTCTATATCAAATTGGCTTTAGTGGGGTTGACCTTATATCCCATCTTTTTGTGTTTGTATAATTCCCCATTATGGCCAGGATTTAGTCATTGAAATGTAGAAGGTGTTTTCCCTATTTCCATCTATAATATTAGTATATGAAAGGATATCCCCTTGGATGTCATACTATCTATATTTCCTTTATTCAGTGTCATATTAGGTGAATAATATTTAGAAGATTTTATCTTACACTTAGCTTATATTAAATAGTGTCTAATTTAACTAGATGTTTCTAGTCATACTTTGTTTTTCTATTTTTCTTTTTATTTACTTTTACCATTTTAATACACTGACCGGCAAAAAAAGTGGCCACCTTAGAAATTTCCGAAAATAAAAGTTCATTGGAAGTTTTCTGCATTGTCTCATATTGCGTCTCATTTTAAATATTTATTTCGATTATGTATGCTTGTTTTTGACAGTTTTGACGTTTATTTTGTTGTTTTATGTAGTCGCTGTTTATCTTCTAACTTAATAACATTTACATAATTTAGCTTTTCAAACGTGGATTTGGAGTAAGTGAATAATTATGATATGGTGTTATCTACAGTAGATGTTGCTGGAATTATTGCATTGTTACAGGATGGAAGAAGTCAAGTTTATCTATCCGAAACTTTAGATATTCCGAGAACTACATTACGGAGAGCTTTCCATCGTTTTATAGAGACTGGTACATACTCACGTCGACTTGGTTTCGGCCGTAGAAGAGTTACCTCGAAAAGAGATGATCCTTTTAATGTGATAGAGCTTTTAAAAAATCGCCATTACACTGCAATTGCTGCAAGAAACCAAGTGCAGGAGGTTCGAAATGTGACTGTAAGTGAGAGGACGGTAAGAAGACGCCTCAATGAAAGAGAATTCTCTTTACTAATGAATCGCGGTTCTGTTTGAAGTCTGGCGATGGCCGAGAGAGGGAGTGGAGAAATGAAAGGTATACCCAAGCTTGTATGTCCCAGAGAAGAAAGTTTGGTAGTGGTAGTGTCATAGTTTGGGCTTTAATCTCATTTGATGCTCGAACTGAACTTATTTTCATCAATGGGCCCCTGAATGCTCACCGGTATATGAAGGATGTTTGGGTAGAAGCAGTAGTTCCATTTGGGCCATTTATTGCGGACAATTTCGTCTTTAAGCATGATAATGCACAGAGGCATACTGCAAGAATCGGGACAAATTACTTGGGGGATGTAGGAATTAATACTCTAGAATGGCCAGCCTGTAGCCCTGATCTAAACATCATCGAACATCTTTGAGATGATTTTTATCGTATGGTTAGAAGTCAACCAGGTCAACCAGAAAGTCTTGTAAAGCTTCAAAATCTGCTTTGTGAAGAACATAAACGTATTCATATTCATATGTATTTTTATACAGCTCCGTCATATAAAATTTCAAAAAAACTGTTAGAGATTATTTTAGACCACACTAAATTTTCACCTAAATTTACCATAAAAAATACAATAGAACTAGTTAATAAAATACAACATTTTCAATTACCTAACAACTCCAGATTAATTTCATTTGACGTAAAAAATCTATTTCCTAGTATCCCTCCTACAGAAACTTTTATTCTAGTAAAAAACCTTTTAGACCAAAATAGTACAAATCCAATAATTACATCTGAAATTTTACATCTTCTTAAAGTTTGCATAAACCAGGACTACTTTGAATTTAATAATAAAATTTGTACAAATAACAGTGCAGGACTTATAATGGGTAATCCTCTAAGCCCATTGCTATCAGATATTTTTATGGATCATCTAGAGACAAAGATTTCAAAACATCCCGTATTCAAACAGTTTTTATATTGGTGGAGATATGTAGACGACGTACTGGTATGTTTCACAGGAACTAACAGGCAACTGGACCAATTTTTATCTAATATTAATTCACTTCATAGTCATATTGAATTTACAATAGAAACAGAACAAAATCAATCCATAAATTTTTTAGATTTAAAAATTAGCAGACTTCAAAACAAACATGACTTCTCCATATTTCATAAACCTACCCATACTGACACGACTATACACAATTCGTCATCCCATCCAACACAACATAAACTGGCAGCTTATCATAGTATGTTACATAGATTAACAGAAATTCCGATGTCAAAATACAACTTTGAGACAGAATTAAATATAATTAAGCAGATAGCAGTAAACAACGGATACAACGAACAAACAATTAATAAAATGTTAAATCAAAAACTACACAAGAAAGCCCTGAAATTAGTATTTCCACCACCAGAGAAAAAACTCAGTACCTTCTGCTCCATTACATATACAAGCAAAATAACAACAAAAATTGCCAAACACATAAAAAAGAAAGGAATAACACCAGCTTTCCGAACAAATAACAACCTAGGCAAATATATTAAAAATAACAAGAGCCAAAATTTAAAACACTTAAATAGTGGTGCGTACAAACTTGAATGTGGCGACTGCCCAAAAATTTACATCGGTCAAACTGGTAGAAACTTTGATAAACGAATAGCAGAACATAAAAGGGCTTTCAAGAATAGAAAAACAGATTCGACATACGCACTTCACCTTCTAGATCAGAATCATTCTTTTAATGACAAATTTAAAATTCTTCACATTCAAAATAAAAGCCTTAAGCTATCTCTGTTAGAATCTATGGAAATCAACAAATTAAAAAACACAGATATAATTCTGAATGACCAACTTGGGACAAACAGTTCTCCCCTCCTCAACCTATTTCATTAGAGACTATAAATTTGTAAACCCAAGCCAAAATAGATCACTTGAGAAAGGCAATCAGCCGAAACAGCTGTAGTGATAATATTTAAAATAAATTTTGTGGAAGTTTGAAAACAAAGTTTTCAGTGTTTTATTGTTACATAAACGTATTCCTCAAGTTTTTATTCAAAATTTATTCCTGGCCCTTCCAAATCGTATGCAAATGGTTATTGATATTTTAAAGCCTAATAATAATAATTAGACAATTTTGTTCAAGTTCACTCGTAATTCTTATTGTTTGTAATTCGTTTCGATATTACACGATTTTCTTTGGTAGCCTTCTAATTAAATAAATTATGCTAAGGAATCAAGCAGTAATGGCCATTTTTTGTTTTAAAAATGAAAGATGTTGAGTATACAATATGAAACAGTGCATAAAACTTCCAATAAATTTTTATTTTCGGAAATTTATAGGGTGACCACTTTTTTTGCCGGTCAATGTATTTACCATTTTTTCGTATTGCTAACATCAAAAAATTTACAAAAATAATTACTAATGAACGATTGTTTATTACAACAATAGAAATAATAAACATATATAAAATTAAATACTTATAATTATTTTAATTACCTATTTGGGCATTGTCGAATACCCTCAAATCATATTTTCCTAGATAGCCAACTCTGTAATTGGTTCTAGTACCATTGTCCCATTGAACAACGACGGTTTTCTCTGGAGATACATTTCCAGGCTCGCCAATTTCACATACAGTCCCTACATGTCCTTCTCCTCCATCTGTAAATAAAAAGATATTTTATTACAACTAAATTAATAGAGTGGTTCCAGACAAGAATACATTTTTAAAACATTCAATTATTTGGAAAGTCAGACATATTTATTGTAATAATCTCCCTAAATAGTTTCGGAACAATTTAAAAGACATAAAACAAGTGATGAATTCTACCACAGCCACCTTTACTTCCAAGCCATGAAGTAAAAAAGGCAACACCGCATTCTATGACGTCGGTAGTCCGATAATCAGCTGTAAGGTCTACCAGAATATTAAACTAATTTGAATTTTAGGAAACTGATATTTTGAAAACTTCAATTCATTACAGAAATATTTTTAGGGAAATTAAATTAATAAAACCTTATATATACCTAGTAAATATATATAAAGTTTTATTATTATTTAGGTTATATTATCAATAAAATAATCACTAGAGTAAAATTTATTGCACTTAAAATACAGTGTCAAACAGTTAATCTTACAATCAAATGCAGTCAAGAATCTCTAGAAATTTTAAATATTAAGTACTTAAGCATATAAATAATACAATACATTAACACGACATTTAAAAAGATATTAAAAATACAAAAGATATAAAATTTGTGCTAAGTAAAAACTTAGTGTAACTATTATGATTAAAAAATTCATCCTAAGAAATCAGACACAATATAAATATAGTTCTAAATTAATCTAATTGAAAATTAAATATTTTACTATTTACTTATAACTTTTGTTGAATTTTCATACTTAGATATACAAAAGTAGCAACTTTAAATATGAATAGGTTTGTTGTCATATGACAGAGTTAGAAATGAGGAGGTCCTTAGACGGCTGAACCAAACAACACAACTGGTCAATATAATAAAGAAACGCAAGCTGGAATACTTCGGTCATATTATGAGACACCCTGAAAAATATGATCTGTCAATAAAGTCACGATAGCGAATATGGTAGCCAACATGATATCCAACGATCGATAGCGGTCATGGAACTAGAAGAAGAAGAAGTTGTCATATAGACCAAGTTAAAAGAGGTATACAATTGTGTTGAAAGTAACATACCATTTATAACTTGTATATCGATTTAAAATAGCCTATATTCTCAAAAGATTTTTTAATGTAATACTCAAATTTGTTATCACTTATCTAAAAAGCAGATCTAAATGAGAAAGTAAGTTCTCTAATTGTGACCATCTTGTTAATTTACTATATTGTAAAATCCATTTCAAATCATTACCACTTAATCTATTGACGATCTTACCTACATTGACGATTACACTAAAAATTACTGCTAACTATTACACTACATATTACACAAATATTATCACCCTTGTGTCCCAACTGATTAATGTTTAATACATAGAAATATACACAGTCACTTATAATTTTACTTGTCCAGTTTTTCAATGGGATATTATTGTCTAAGTCTAATTGACATAATTATGTTATCTCTTGTTCCCTCTTCTTATGCAAAAAGTTTCTTCTGTCTTCGGGATTCCTTCTTTCTTTAGTACGATGAACAGTTACATATGATGGTACTTCAGGAAATATCTTAGGAACTGCATTGCCTTTTAATTTGGGAAATATTAACTTTTCAATGTGTACATTTCCATCTTTATCTTCTCATTGTTCAGTCCGCTGAATATCATCTTCATGAAAATGTTTGGCACATACTACGGAAGATTTGGTAATTGTACAGCCTTCTCTATGAATAGAGCATAACCCAGTATACCTTCTTTGGGGATCTTTGGGAAACAAAAACATACTTTCTGCCTGTTTCGTTTTTAAAGTACTGGCATAATTGGTTTTGCAACCAGGTACACAACAATGCCAGAGCATCTGTAACAAAAAACAAAAGTATTATTATTATTGTTTTTAGTTTATATATTTTGTAACAAGAAGCAAAAGTATTATTATTTTCAGTTTGTTTTGTAGGTTATATTTATACTTGCCTTTTAAATTGTCGTTAAGACTCTTCTAAAAGTTCTAAATTTAATGAAATTTCACTTATATTAATATTTTCTAATTGATTTAAACACAATTGACAAATAAAACATTCGAATAAAGTTAAAAAAACAATAAATTCAACAAACTTTACAAGCCCTCCTATATGAAATGTTAAACCAAAACAAACCACAGTCGGACTACCACGCGTCACGCGTTGTTGCCAAATTTCTACTTCATGGCTTGGAAGTAAAGGTGGCTGTGATTCTACCATTACTTGATGGAAATTTCGGATAAAGTATGTATTGATTTTGGCAGAGCAAAAAACAAATTTCTTGTTTTAACTTATAATAATTTTCTATTCGATTACAGTATATTTTATAAAAACGTTAGAATAAAAACGCAGTATGAGAAAAAGATTCACCAGCTTATTAAATGAAGAATTTGACAGAGAACCAGTTGAGTTAACAGAGACAGTAACACCAATGGTTGTCAAAATAACAAACAGAAAGTGGTTCAAGCACTTCAAAAAATAAAGAATGGAAAAGCAGTTTGACCAGATGATATTTCTGGGGAAATATGAAGAGCATCAGGAGAGACAGGAATATGTTGGCTAATAGGTTTGTTCAGTAGAATTATGTAAGTTGGACAATTGCCAGACGAACGCAGTAGTAGTGTATTAGTACCTGTCTACAAAAACAGGGGAGATATACAAAAATATACAAACTGCTGGGCCATAAGACTATTAAGTCAGACCATGAAAATATAGGACAGTAATTGATAAGACGGATACATAAAAAACTGAAATATCTGATAATCAGTTTGGCATTATACAAGACATATATGCAATGCAGAATTCTGTGGTAAGCACTCAATAAGAAATGAGTCCCCGGTGAATATGTAAAGATTGTGAGAGACATCTATGAGGGAGCAACAACTAGTGTTAGGACAGGTGTAAGAGAGACTGATAAATTTCATGTGAAGGTAGGATTGTACCAAGTCTTGGTGCTTAGTCTATAAACACAACAGGGCACCATTCACTGGTGCTTAACACTTAGACTCACCACAGTGAAAAAAGAGGATCTTTCCGGCCCTAATAGTTTCCCTTTATATATACACAAAATTTAAAACTAAGCATATATGTAATGTTTTTTCAAAAAAAAACAGCGTTAGTAAGAGATGAAAATTACCATATGATTCACGCGACCTTGTTGACTGATATCGATTATTACAGCCGTGTGATCATATGCCGATTCACATAAAAACAAGTCCATATAATTCATGCGGTCTTGTAATCTGATATCGTTTATTACAATTATATGTCCATTTTCATACTGACTTTGTCTAATAACCTACTGGATAAGGAACGTACAATTTATACAAATAGTTATTACACCAGTATTTCTCTAGCCCCTAAATTGCATAAAAGAAATACTTATTTAGTTTGAACTCTGAGAACCAACCGAAAATTAAGTCCCAAACATATAATTTGGTCTCTTAAAATAACTCTTTTTGGTCTACATAAACGACCTTCCAAATGCGGTGGTTAGTTGTTCCTCAAACCTTGTAAATTTCGCTGATGACTCAAATGTGCTTTTCTGGGAAAAAACTTTAGAAACACTCCTCACAGTGGCAGAGCAAATTCTAAGCAAGGCTGAACAGTGGTTCAGTGGAAATCGGTTGTTGCTTAATACTGATTAAACAGTTTTTGTCCACTTTAGAATCAGCCAGTCACGAGAACAGTTTCCAGATACAATTAATTTTCTATCTGAAAACACGGAAACTGCTAGATCAGTTAAATTTCTTGGTATCCATATTGACCAGAATCTGAATTGGGGGGAACAAATACAAAATACAACAAAAAAACTGAATAGAGCCTGCTACTTATTAAGAGTGTTAAAGAGCTATCTGGACTAGGGGATTTTACTATCAGTATATTATGCAAACTTTTATTCTGTTATGCGATATGGAGTAATCTTCTGGGGTGCTGCAGTAGATAGCTCAACTGTCTTTATAGTCCAAAAAAAGGCAGTCCGGGTGATCTTAGGACTAAAGGCGGGAGAATCGTGTAGAGGCCGATTCAAGTCACTCAATATACTCACTTTCTCAGCCATCTATATATTTGAATGTATTATGTTCCTTTTTAAAAATTTTTCTTTGTTTTATCACCTGCTTCCCAATCATGAATATAGTACAAGAAGCCTTAACTTGAATTTGCCACTTCACAGATTGTCTATAACAGAGAGAAGTCCTTTGTATGCATGTGTTAAATTTTATAACAGTCTACCATCTGACATTAAACAGGAAACACACTATAGAACTTTTAAAAGAAAGGTTTTTCAACACCTAGTTGACATTGAGCCCTATACTGTGGCGGAGTGCCTGGCCTATCCTTCTCCTTAATCAGCATATTTAATTTGTAATGTTAATGTATTTTAAATGTATGATGTCAATATATATAATATATATATATATATATATATATATATATATATATATATATATATATATATATACATATATATATATACATATTTTTTTTTAATTTGTAATTAATAATGTGACGATATTTGCTCAATCATGTTTAAAGATTTATGCAAATAAAATTTACTTTACTCTACTCTACTCTACTCTATAATGGATACAAAATTACAAAAAGGAGAAACAGTTGCAGCTGAAAGTAATACAGGAGTGGTGATTCAAAATTGAAAGATAAACATGATGTTTATACTCTAAATACAAAACACACTGCTGAACTCACAGAAGACAGTCAGAACCAAAAGTTGTAACTGACTACAATAAACATAAAACTGATATCGATCTGTCTGGACAAATAAAAACATATACCACCTCATTAAGAAAGGAAGTAAAGCGGTATAGAAAGTTACCAATTAAACTGCTTGTGGGTACTACGTTAGTAAATTCCTATATTTTACACCATGAAGTCACAAACAGGAAAAAAATTTTTCTGCCTATTACCCCAACTTTGAGTTGTTATCAACAGGTTGATAAGGTCAACACTTCGTCTCAGGACCATTTTACCTATGTAGGGTCATACGTCACCATGTTACCAATTCCAATGGTAACTTAAACATCATAATTTGTAACCACATATACTTAATGTAAAGCAACTGTAAATTTATATCATTTAAAGGGTTTTGACCCATATATTTTGGTGGCTCATAGCATGCATACCTCGTTTACACTGATGATGGATTTAACAATCCGAAAACATTTTGTAATATATTTGTGATAGCCCGTTTGGGCATTTTATTATATACCTTTTATAAAGGATTTGAAATAAATTTTTTATTTCAGATATTAATAAGGTGCGGTAGGATTTTTTGTGTTATACATTTTCTACAATGATTCTGTAAAAATATTCCCAAGCTGAATGAACTGAGTTTACCACAATTCATACTGTTATGTGTTATATAGACTTGGTTCATTCATCCCACTCCCAATTGTCTGGTAAATTTAGTAAGTAATAATTTTTTTGCTATGTTGGTTAAATTTTGACTGAAAGTGGCTGCATATTTACTATACAAAGCACACATAATGCACAGTTTACAGATTAGTATTTATGTTAGAGGTAGGAATTTTTGTGTTGTATGTTTCTTACAATGAATCTGACAAAATATTGCCAAGTTAAAGCTAGTGAATTTACTATAAGGTAAGTGTACCAATTATGGACCACACATCTAATATGGACCATCAAATTTCAAATTCAAAAAATAAGAAAAACTTGGCTATTATTGTAATTAGGTAGAGATCTATATAAAGTCAAACCTTTTGAGTGGCCATATTCATTAGTTTTGGTCATTTCCAGCAACAGCATTGATGTGAACAGTTATATTTTATTCAGTGGTGCTAATAATAGTGTACATTTTACCACATTAGTGTTTGAAAATTAACAGGTACATTTTATTTGATCTTTCAACTTTACTTTTAGGTCTCTTGATTGTATATAAATATTTGCATAGACACAAATTAATAATTAAATCTTATTGGCTATGAAAATTTATCAATTAATAATTGATTCTCCATTGTGTGGAGGTGGTTCAAATTAGTGACCTAAAATATGTGTTATGTGTATGGCAGTGATGTAACGAATATTCGCATTCGCATTCGCGAATATTCGCATATTTTTGCATATTCGCATTTGCATTCACATTCGCAAAATTTGTGCGAATGTTTTGCGAAAATTACACAGCTTGCATTTAGCTCGTTCAGTATCGAAAAGTGGTGAAAAACATAAGTCCATATTTCACTATAATTTGATTTACTCATAGTAATAAATCGCTAATCACACTTTAACTAAAAATTCACTTGTATTTGTGCACGAGCAGAGCAGGGCAAGTGGAGTGACTTGTGTGTCCCATGAAATTTTTATTGGAACTATAACCTGCTATAACCAGAGAACTTAGTTCTCTGCTATAACAAGTCAAATTTGATTATAACAAGAGAAAATAAGATTGAAAAACGTGCTTTCTACGTTTTTGGCCCGGACGTGACTATAAATAAATACCTTTTTAAACGACCCCTCAATAAACTTAACCGCCTACAATAAACTTCTTTACAATAAATACAACTGTTTCACATCTTTACTTTAGCAAATATGATAGAATGATACTGGACAATTTAAAGCAGTTAAAATGACAGACTTTTTCCAATTGCCTACACACCTCGCGCCAATGAGACTGCCGGCAGTGCCGGAGACAATTAAAATTGCCAAATTAAAAAAAAAACTGAATATTCGCATTCGCGAATGTCGGTGGCATATATTCGCATTCGCGAATGTTTAAAAAATGACATTTGTTACATCACTAGTGTATGGACACTATGTTAATAATAGGTGCTCAGTGATAAATCATTATTTAGAAATCATTCAGCTCTATATGAGGTAAGAAATCTATAAACACAACTATAAAGCTGATATCATGATCAGTACCAATTTTGAACCACTATGTCCATAATTGGAATAATGATGGTCCATAATTCAATATTCCATGATTCAAAATAATGACAATTATTTTGAAACTAATTCATTTTTTTAGTTACAGAATGACCACAAAACATAGCCAATATAGCAATGTAGCATTGAAAAATGTGCTAGAAAACATCCAAAATGATCTAGCATGTAGAGCAGCATCAAAAAAGTATGATACTCCTAGAGTTACATTAATGAGAAAATTTAAAACAAAAATTGATGTTAAGGTGAAACCTGGACTCCTCAACAGTGTTTACTGCCGACCAAGAAGAAATGCTGGTAAAATGGATAAAATCAATGGCAAAATCAGGTTTTCTTGTATCTAAAGGTTCTCTTCTATTTAGTGTTGAAAAACTTGCTCGAGAATGCAAAGTGAAATTTCCAAATGGAACTATGTCAGAAGAAAATGGTATGAATGTTTTATAAAAAGGCATCCAATGATAGTTAAAATAACTGGTCAAAATTTAACATTACAGCGAAAAAGTGTGACTCAACACCAGATTGATGAATGGTGTAAGGAGGTGGGCCAGTACATGAAAACCAAAAAATTGGAACAAATCTTTCAAAATCCAAGACGAATTTTTAACAGTGATGAGACAGCATTCTTCCTTGATGCCAAACCTGGTAAAGTACTTACAGAACTCTTTTCTGGACTAATGAGTCCAGGAATAGAAAAAAGACTAATAGAACAAGAAAAAGAGAAGAAATTAGCAGACAGGGAAGAGAGGGAAAAATCAAGTTGCAAGTAAAGCTTGCAAAGAGAAAAATAAACCAATTTCTCGGTCATCATCATCATCAAACCACAGTGATGCCAGCTAACCAAATTCAGTAGAATCTGATTGTCAAGAAGAAGAAGAAGATGATGATGACCAGAATGACATGAGAAGTTTAATTGAAGAAGGCTTCAAGGCTAAATTAAGCAAGGGGACTTCATTCTAGTTAAATTTATGGGGGGAAAAAGGAATACTTCAGGATTTATATACCTGTGTTGTGTGCAGCAAAATAATGACTATGAAATAAAAGTCATGGGGTTTAAATCATGTGACTTAACATTACAACAATTTGTGGCAGATAAAGGAGATATTTCAGTAATTCATTTAAATGACATTATTGGTGTCTTAACAGCTCCAGAGATAACTATAAAAGACAGGAAATTAACATGCATTCAAAAGAAAATTGGGAGTCAAAGAAAAATGGTGTAGAAAAAACTAAAATAAAATTTTATTCACCTCTTGAGTTATATTTTTAAAGTAATACTAATGCACTGATAATGGTTCATAATGGGGGGTCCATAATTGGTTTAAAAAAAAATGCTATGTTCATAATTGGTTCAAGTACCTTGATAGGTAATTAATAAAAAAAAAATTAATCATATAACAATAAAAATCACACCAACTATATCTTAGCAAAGGGTTGAAATTTGCCAAAAATTATATCAAATTTAGTGGCCTAGTGTATGTCTTTAAAAAAAATAAAAAATGCCTTGATGAGCTCCTAGGCGAGAAGAGAGTGACCCTGTTTGCCTGTTTATTGTTTTGTATATTTATTAATATAAACTCAGATAACTATTTCTACCATGTTGAGTCTGGCTGAATGACTAAAAGTCTAAGCAAAAAAAATCAAATTAAAGTTCTATCTTTGTTTGACCGCAGTGTGTTAAGAATTACTTAACAGGTCCACCATTGGTAGATCTACCTTACATAATTGTCATTCTCATTTTGTCAATGAATTTTTTCAAATCATTAAAATAAAATATTTTTTAAATGAGTTTTTACTTATGACACCTTAGTATTAAAATTTCTTTAAGAAATAAAGCTGCTTATAATATTTTGAAATAATTGTAATAACAAACATTTTAAAAAATATTTTCAAATTTATTTCACAGAGGTTACAATCTTTGTAAAGCTAATAGCAGGTTCTATTTAAAGAGTTATTATTGTTTAAACCAAGAGTTACAAGAAATTGATAAATAACCACAAATATAACAGTCATAACCACCAACAATCAAAATAAGAACAATAAATGTTTATATTGCTGACTTGCATAATAAATATTTTTATGCTTTTAATATAATGCTTATCTAGACACCTTAGGCTTTTTTTAAATGATAAAATATCAATAAAATGTGCTCCTATCTTGGGTGTAATATGAAGTATATTTAATGCAAGTGAAGCTAAATGAGTCATAATATTTAATAAATTAATGCCAAAATTGATAACAATGTACAGGTTTTTAGATACTTAGAAACATTTTGTTTATTCTATTTCTAAAATTTGTTCCCAAATCAAGACACTTTTACCCTTTTACTTTAGAAATACATAATATCACATGGATTAAATATAAATAAATAAAAATCAGGTGTTTTGATGACCAGTAGTTATACAAATTATAGCTAAATTTAAATGTTTCTTTACCTTGATTATTCCAGCACCAGTCAGGTCCTCTAACAACTCTTACACCCGGCGTTAACATAATTAATTCAGACTTTGAAGATAACTAATTATCGCACATAACAATATTTTATAATATTAATACTAATCCAGACAAAAGCTCCAGTATATATATTTGGCAATGGTATATTGATTAAATAGTGAACTGTTTACTATAACTAGTACTTATTAAACATCTTAATACTAAATAATAATTTTAAGTGTACACCCTTTTCATTAATGTGATTTTATAAAACTAGAAAATAAAAACAGAGACACAGCAACTCAACTACTACACAAAAGGAAAACAGAACTGTTATCATAGCACACTACCACCTAGCATTGAAACTTCCGTGTTGACGAGTAAAACAATGATTGGCGCATCACCTAGTGACCGGGCGCCTAACTATAAATACATGGCGCGAAATTCAAAATTTTTGTAATATTACCTAGGATTGTGAAATCATTTTAAAATAAAGGAAAATCGATATAATCTTAAAATAACAAGAAAAATCCTTATCCTATACGATAATAAATATTTTTCGTATACTTTTTGGGTTTTCTTGTTATGTTGAGACTATATTTATTTTACATTACATTAAAATGCCAAAGTAGTCAAAAAATTAAAGAATAAAATATAGAATAAAATCTTTATTTATAAAAATATTACAAGAAATGTTATATGTGTTACAAGAAATATTAATAATACAAGATAAGTGTACTATAATTTAGTTTTCTTAATGTTGTGGCAAGAACTGGTCAGTATTTAAATAATTGTTTTGTCTTAGTATGTCAAGTTTTATGTAAATAGAAGCCTAATTCTGCAAAAGGCCTTTTACTACAATTTTATTCTCAAAATTTGCAAAGAATTCAAACATTGGTATATAACATTCAAGATTTTTTTAGAAAGCAATGAATCTAAAGATAAATCCCTAGAAGACAAAATAAGTACATACTTGTAATAAATTTAGTCTATAATTACATAAGCGAAGCAATCAATGGGGAAAACCAATTGCTTTTTTCACACATACTCTCACAGATTCAGAATGAAAACATGCAAATGCATTGAAGTATTAAAAAAATGCAGACATTATCTGGTAGGAAAGCAATTCAAACCAATCACAGATTAAATCACTATTTTGTTTATATAGAATGCTGGCATATATAAAATCTGACAAAGAGAACTAGCTTTACTTCACAAGAATTTATTAATTATCTCCACTCTAAAGGAATATTTCAAGTAGAACAACTCCATATAACCATGAAGGAAATGGTTAAGTTGAAAGATACAATGAGTTATATAGAAATTGGTGAATCTAGCATTGAAAACCAAATATTTAGACATCACTAAATGAAAAACTGCTTTACCAGGAGCTCTGTACTATATAAGAAGTTTACTATTGAATTGTTATATTATTGAATCACGATAATGATGAAGATGAAGTCCAAATAACACATTAGAGAATTCCACTACTAAATCAATGCCAGATGTGACAGAAAATTTACCTGTTCAAAAACCTGATGATAATTATGAACCAAGATTGGAAAATTCAGATTTTCAATCTAGCTGTAAATCAGCTGGAGCTAAAAATAAACCAAGATAGTTGCAATATTTTGTTCACAAATAGGGAAGGGTAAATGTAGTATAATTTAGTGTTCTAAATCTTGTGACAAGAACTTGTCAGTAATTAAATAATTTTTTTGGAATTCTAATGTCAAATTAAAGCCTAATAAGCAACAGACAGCTGTCAGACATTCTGAGTTCTTTGTAGTACTTACATCCTAATCTAATAACACACACTACCAGTGGTCAGTGAGAACTCTTACTGTCTGGCGTTCTACTCACAGAAAAACAGAACTCAAGAACTCTGCTAAGTTGGAAACAGAAAAATTAAATGATTTAGTTCTAGAAAGAACTTTATATACATTTATATGATAATATTTTAGTCATATTTAAACCTATAAACCCAACAGTTAGCTCTAATATTCTAAGATCCAGCACTATAAAGATGGAAAAATAACATTAAAAATAAAAAAATTTGTAAAGTATTACCTAGTTACAATAATAATATGAAGTATTTTACAAAGTTACATTTCCAAACTCTATCTTACCGGTAACTCTTTTCTACTAATATTTATATATTTATTGAGACATATTAAATACATTTAGATTTAGGTTGTTCTTTTGATTAAAAGTACATAGATGAGACAAACCATGATAATATATGGTACTCTAAGACCAATCTCACTCACAAGAGAGAGACAGATCCCTCCTCGCACTTAACGGCAAGCTCATGGACCTCTCCATATGATAGTGTAGTCATGGTCTGCTAATCTAATCCAACTTTGAAACAGGCACACCTGTAGAAATTATGTCGAACCCTCTCTAAGGTGATGATTTTTAAGATAGTTGTTGAACCACCACCTACAAAATAATTCAAATTGTAAGCAAGTAAGACTGATTTTATAATATATAATTTTAGGTTAAATTTATAATTAACTAATTTTATAAGTAAAAGGTCACATGTCACATACATGCATGTATTGGCATAATAGTTCTTACCTGGTGCTGGTAAAAACAAACTCAGAAGGGCTGTTCTCGTAATACCGGTATGTCCAACATTAATTATATCATCCTCTTTAAAATGACTAGCGCATACACGAAAATTGTTATAAATAGTTTCTGTTGCAGCATTCTCTAATTAGGGCTTTTAACAGCATTCACCCATTTATCAAACATATCCATATTATAATCTCCTGGACTTGAAAAACGGTATTGCTTGCCAGCGGTAGTGTACTTGCCTAGTATCCATGCAATCTGGAATACATCTTTTTTGTTCAGTTCTTCGTCACTATATTGTTATTCCATGTAATGTGTTCGATTCCATAATAAAATATCGTCTAAAATTTTACCTTTTTGCACTACTTATATAAAAAAATTTAAACTATAAAATAAATTATAAAAAATAAAACAAATAAAAATATGACGCCGTATTTGTCTAAATTCAACTTTTGATTTGACCACAGCACACTCCCTAGGCGTAGAAACGAGACTAGCAGCGCCACCAAACGAATGGGCGCCTAAATCCGAACGTGATTTGACATTGCCTATCCCTGTTACCAATCTATAAATTTTATCTATGACTGTTATGGAGAAAAGAAAAACACAAAACTGTCAGTTTGTTGTCAAAGTCATAAATTAAGTTTTAGGCATTTTGTTGTTAGGTAAGACCATCGAGCAATAAGACAAAAGAGGGAATGTAAAGGTAGAAGGGGTAAACATATTGATAGACAGGAAGTGCCATCTTGAAAGGCCACTTTAGACAAGGATAGACAGTCTCTTTCCTTGTTTAAGAAGTCAAATTTAGTTTGGTTATGTTATTGTTTGTCCCATAAACTCGATGGTTTGTCCCAACTGTCACATGAAATTTTATTTATATTGAAGTTTTTTACCAATTATGTCACTTTTTAGACTATTATCGTTAATATTTAATTAAAACTTTCTAGTCTGAAAAATATTTTATAGCTATTGTTAACAAATGTTGGAAAATTTAAATTTAGCGCCTTTGCATTTCCGGATGTGTCCGCCATCAGAGGCCACTTTTTTGGTCTCCTTTTTATAACGATTAGATTCCCTCTTTTGTCTTATTGCTCGATGGGTAAGACAAAGAATAATTTATTTTTATATTTTATTGGGTCTATTTGGATGAAAATAATAAGTTATAAAAGAAGTGACTAGAAAAGACAGTTTAATAAATTGTATTTTTACTTTTAGTGTATATTCATCGTACAAATAAACACAGGAAACTCTATAGAAAGGGTGAAAGGGCTGTCAATTTGCTGTCAAAAGTCAAATGTCACTTGCCCTTCACCTTAGCGACATTGTAATTGCAGTTTATTAAAAATACAATAAATAAATATTTTTTTCTATGTAGCTTAGGTTGGTGGATTAATACAAAACATAAACATTGTACATAATACGTAATTTTTCATTACCTATAAGTATGAGCACCCAACCTAGCCCAGCAAACCAAACAGTTGAAAGAGAGAAGGTTTATATGTGGATTTTGGAACTAACTAATCCAGAAACCAGAGAAAATGCTTTATTGGAACTCAGGTAAATTTACTTCACAAATATTTTAACGGAAATTAAAACATTAAGGATATATTTTTAGTAAAAAAAGAGAAGTTGTCCCAGATTTGGCACCGATGTTGTGGAACAGTTTTGGAACAACTGCTGCCTTATTACAAGAAATTATAAACATTTATCCAGCTATCAATCCCCCCACACTTACTGCACATCAATCGAATAGGTAATTATATCATAAATCGACCAATTAGCATAACCATAAAGATTGATTTAAATTTTATCTCTTTTCAGAGTGTGCAATGCTCTTGCCCTTTTGCAGTGTGTAGCATCTCATGCTGAAACTAGATCACAGTTTCTACTTGCTCATGTACCATTGTTTTTGTATCCTTTCCTACACACTTCATCAAAAACTAGGTCATTTGAATATCTCCGCTTGACAAGTTTAGGAGTTATTGGAGCATTAGTCAAGGTAAGTTTTTTAAAAGTGTATTATAAATAACGAGTTATATTTATTTATTTATTTATATACGGCATCCATTTACTTACAATTTTTACAAAGTTACATCTTAAAAACAATATATTATTAAAATAACAATCACAAGTTTTAAAAAGTTACACCTTAACAACAATAAATTATTAAAATAACAAACACCTCAGAATAATACAAACATATAAGAATAATACAGATGTATAACCAACTTATTGTAAGATATTTTTTAGTTGTTTTTTAAACAAACTAATTTTGGAGTCAAAAATATCTATTTGTCTTGGCAAGCTATTAGCACTCCGGACCAATCGTGTAGTTGGTTCATTGGTACCATAATTAGTGTGGTGAAATGGCACCGAAAAGATTTCTGATTGTCTGTTGCTTCTACTAGGAACTTTAAGACTAACAAGCGATAAGAGTTGAGGACAATCTATAAAAGCATTGATAACTTTGTGTAAGAAACATAAATCCAACAATGTCCTCCTTGACTCAAGAGTTGGTAAGTTAAGACTATCTCTTACCCACTGATAGTCGTATTCCTCTCTCCTGTATCCACTCTTATAGGCTGCTACCCTCAAAAATTTTTGCTAAAGTTTTTTGCAAAATTTTGCTAAAGTTTTATGGTTTAAATGTAAAATGTAAACAAAAATTTTCTGAAATCTTTGTTTTTTTGTTACTTCACATTTTGTAACAGCTGAATTTCTTAATCTACATAAAATCATTAAATCTACCTTATTTTCTTCTTCTTGTCTAGAATACCTCTCATTAAATTGTTGAATGTGCGATGCAGCTTCTTTACGCAAATCTTTGTTGGTTGCAATAGCATCAAATTGTTGTTGCCATTTTAACGATTACATCATCTGTCAGCAATCGATAGCCGTTTGCGACCTCACCACAAATTAACCATTCGTTTATGTCATCTTTGGCAACGAAAACAAAACAGTTGATTTAGTCATAACTTTATTTGTTACCGCATCATGCTCGGTTGTCACGGGGGCATTTTCTTCTTGAGTTGGTTCAGACCATAATTTATCCCACACTCTTTTTACTTTAGCGTTACTTCCGAAACATCAGCCCAAGTACCCACAGCACTGTCAACTGCGTGTTTTAAATTGTATGCTTTCCAATATTCTGGCAAAGAATAATCCTCTTCCATAACTAGGTTTTGAATAATTTTTTTTTGGATTTTCTTTTGAATGTTTCAATAACTGATTGATCCATTGGCTGTATCAATAATGTATTCGCAGGCAGAAAAGAGCATGCGATATTTTCATCATCATTTCGCAACATACCGGCTTCAGCATGGGCAGGTGCATTGTCCAAAATGAGAATCGCCTTTGGTGGCAAATTTTTTCCTTGCAAGTATTGTCGAACGTCCGGTATAAAAACCCAAAAAACGAGACGTTAGAAACATAGATAAACAAATTTTGGTTTTCAGTACATGTCTTTTTGAACCAGTCAGCGAATATGTCCTGGGATATCTATGCATTATGTTGTGCATAGTAGTTAACAGAAAGCACATTCATATTTATGCTCTTGAAACAACATGGTTTTTTTTGCTGTACCAATCAATAATGAAGGAAGGCGATGGTCACCACTTACATTTGAACACATCATTGCTGTGATTCATTGCTTATGCGTTTTAAATCCGGGTGCATATTTTTCAGACAGTGCAGTGAGTGTTTTCATTGGCATTGCTTTGTAGTTTAAACCAGTTTCATCCTCATTGAACACCTGATCGCGTGTCAAACCATATTCATCGATCATAGCTTGAAACTTTCTTTTATATTCGTCAACAACATCAATACTTGCGGCGCCTTGTGCGAAAGTTTTTCACCTTTGATTTTAAGTTCCTGTATACCTTGGCGATTTTTAAACTTTTCCAACCACCCGCTGCTTTTTTTGAATGGAGAATCGCCACTCAATTTCATGTTGAAAAACAACGCTTTTTCGGCCACAATTGGTCCAGACAAAGGTACACCTTCGCCTCTTTTTTGAATGAACCACAAATACAGAGCCGTATCGGCTATCCAACGATTCCATTTGCGAAGCATACTTTTCAATTCCTTCAGCATTTTTCTTTAAATCATTGATTGTTATTCTCGGAACATCATACTTTATGCTCAATGCGACAGCAGAAATACCTTTTTTTAGTTCTGCAATAATTTCTATTTTTTTTTCAATTGACAAAACCACACAAGAACAAAAATTATTTACATAAAAAAATGCGGTAGTGGCATAACTGCATGTGTACATTTCAACAAATTTCAGTTTGGCTTATCTCAATACTTATACCAAATGAATTGATGTCTAAATTTTTACTTATGTTGTCAATATAACATGTATGGACCCTGACTGTTAACAGAGGTGACAGTTAATAGAAAGATGGATAATCGGGGTTCCACTGTATTTCTAAAATGAAAATTTAAATGTAATGAAAATATAATGCATTTTCAATTAAAATTTTTTAGTTTTTTTTTTTGGTATGGTGTTTATCAAGTGTTGTTTAAAAGTTTCATTCCTTTTATTGATTTTCCTTTATTATGATCCCTGTTTCCTTTATTATGAATATATTTAATTTAAAAAAATATATCTCAAATTTGTGTTATAGACTGATGAACAAGAAGTGATCACTTTTCTCCTTACCACTGAAATAATTCCTCTGTGTTTGAGAATTATGGAATCTGGTTCTGAACTTAGTAAGACTGTTGCTACATTTATATTGCAAAAGATATTATTGGATGATAGTGGATTACAATATATTTGTCAAACATATGACAGGTTTAGTCATGTGGCCATGATTTTGGTGAGTACAATAATTTTTTTTTCAAGGTAATTATCAAGAATACCGTATATACTCTTTGAAGTTTCATGAAATTAGTTTACTTCATTACTTAGAATGTACCCTTTTTTGAGTTTTTAATTCACTTAAAACAACATATCAATACCTGTCAGAAAGATATCAGAAAAAAAACGGTTTTAGTTCTTTAAGGAGATTATGCCTCAGCAATAAATAACGTACTTTATTGTTAGGATGTGTGTTCGGGCTGTTAGGCATCTTCTGAAGATGTTACTGCTTCGCTTGTAAGCTGAAACTGACTAATCAATTGACCTGACTTCTGAGATTAGTTCTCGACGTTTTGCCAACATTAGGGGTTGGCTCTTCTGAAGATGTTACTGCTTCACTTGTAAGCTGAAACTGACCAGTCAACTGACCTGACTGGTCAGTTTCAGCTCACAAGCGAAGCAGTCAACCTACCTGTCTGGTCAACTTTAGCTTACAAACGAAGCAGTAACATCTTCAGAAGATGCCAACTCCTAGTGTTGGCAAAATGTCGAGAACTAATCTCAGAAGACAACCACCTAACAGCCTAATAAGTTACACGATGGTCGTGAAAGCCTAATGCATTTTATTACTTTATTATTGTTAAGAGATATAGTAACGAATTTACACAAGTTTTAAAAGAAATACACTTTAATTGTTAAAATCAAAATTTTGTGTTTAGCTTATTATCTATGTAAACTATTTTTATGAAATTTGACATATAAACCCTTATTATATAGATAAAATATCTCGTCATCATCCAGGGTAATCATTAGAAAGGAACAGGCAGTCAAATTTAATTTCTTTTTGAACAGTAAAATTAAAATATTTACTTTCCATTTCCAGTTAATCATCTATGAAAATATAATTAACATAAAGATTTATTTATTTATAACTAATGTTAAGAAAAATACATTAATATGTTGCTCTATAAAGACTACAGATAAAATATTACCTATTATTTATTAACTAACATGTATTTATGTATGTTTTAATGTTAAGGTACTATCTTGTTAATAACAAATATAAATTTTGGAACAAGTATTTACATACATACTGTTACCATGGCTTAATTAGGCAACTAAGATCAGATAACGTCTCCAGAAAAACAAAATGCCAAATATACAAAACCTTAATAAGACCGGTACTCACATACGGTTCAGAAACCTGGACACTCTCTAAAAGGGAGGAAACGTTATTAGCCACCTTTGAAAGAAAAATCTTGCGACACATATATAAGGGCACAAAAGAAAACGGGATTTGGCGGAGAAGGTATAACTTTGAACTATACAACATATACCAGGATCCGGATATCATAACATTCATTAAAATAGGAAGGCTACGTTGGATTGGACATGTGGAAAGAATGGAAGAAGGCGAAATACCAAACAAAATATTCAAACAAGTGCCAGTAGGAAAAAGAACAAGAGGAAGACCGAAGCTGAGATACGTAGAACAAATAGAAAATGATATAACAACATTAAAAATTAAAAACTGGAAAAAAAAAGCACGAAACAGGTCAGAATGGAGAAGAATCCTTGAACAGGCCAAGACCCAAAAAGGGTTGTCGAGCCAGTGATGATGATGATGATTTACATACATACGTTTTATGCAATGAATGAGTCATAACTCGCAGTTTTTATAAATGAATAATAAAATTTCTGCTAGTTTTTAGTCACTAGATCTTAACCATGTAAATATTAAAACAATGTGCCAATTAAAATCTTAATATTTTAGGGCAAAATGGTCATTGCTTTAGCCAAAGAACCATCAGCTCGATTGTTAAAACATGTTGTAAGATGTTATCTTCGGTTGTCTGATAATCCAAGGTGAGTAATAATATATTCTTCAATTATACATGTATAATGATAGATTGTGCTCAAATAATGTGTCAAATTATGATATGTCCATATAAAAAAATATCTCCTAAAAGTGGGAATAAAATGGACATTTTGAAAGAGAGCTTAATCACCAGGGTTAAATAAAATTGAAATGTACGGTGATGGCAAAAACTTTGTATATCAAAGGCCTCCCACATTATAAAACGATATGGTTAATACAAAACAAGTTACACTTCAGAGTAGTGTTAATGCAGAAATCATGAGAAAAATAAGTTAATAATTTGACGATTTTACTGAATTCAGATAAGATCATGATTTTATTTTAAGATAAGTTTTCGATTTCCACTTCGGAAATCGTTTCGAAGTTTGTGTTTCTCTTTTTAATCTTGCTCTTTGTTTTTCTGAATATCCAAGTTCTGTTTTTTGTTTTGGATCGAAATATTTAAATACAGTGGCGAGCAAGAATTATTCTTTTCCTTGTTCTTTTTGTTGTACTATGTCTATCTTTCTTTTGTTTTTTACCTCTATAAACGACCCCACTCATAATCTGCCAGGACTGAGCAACCTTCGAATCACAAAGTGTGACAGTGTTCTAAGTCTACTTCTTAGTAATTTAGTTCACTATGTATGTTATAAATTCGTCAACAAAATATGCTACAACTAGCTTCATTTAAAATTTTCTTAATACAAGGATATTAGACACCCGTCAGGACGCTTCAGGCCGAAAAAATGCAAAAAAATTTTTGGTAAACCTTAAACTGGCTAGTAAAAAAGTTATATATGGCCATCCTAATAGTGTATACCAAACATAGGCCGAAATAAATTATTTTTGACCAGGCCCCTGGGGCTTAACAAATTTTATTGCTTTATTTTTGGCGCCAGCTATTGTTTAAAATAATATCGTTGCTATTATCTCGTTTAAAACATTTTCATCATGATCTAAAAAAATTTAACCTGTCCCCAGGACTAAAAATGTAAAAGAGGTGTAAAAAATATGTATTTACTATTTATGTGCTGTGAACAATGCATCTCTGTGCTTCAATCAATACTCAGCACGAAAGGTTCGTTACATTGAAATATTATGTACATATTATAACATTATTCTGTAGATTCATTCAACCCAGATCTCACCACGACGAGGTAACTGTGCGGTCAGTTACACCAGCCCACCCTCCTTTGCACAACATTTTTACTTACTCACTTCTTGAAGCATACTATTGATATTTAGTTTGAAATGTCAGCAAATTCTTTCTGGTATCCAGTTTAGCTTGTATATAACGATCTCTAGATTCTTCATCACACACTTTTATTGATGCATTGGTAAAATAATTTATCTTAACACATCTCTCCACTGCTTGAGTATGGCAAGAAAAATTGTCAAAATTTGGAACTGTTTTCACCATATCCCACATTTCCTTGTCAGCCAAATGCTGTGTTAGAGGAGGCTCGATTATAATTCATCCAGTTATGAGATCTATGAAATCTTCTGCATCTAAATTGATTTAGGATACTTTGAAAATGCGATTTTTTATGCCAGCTTTCCTACATTTTACAATTCTTCTACCGGCAACCTCTCTAAAAGGTTGACGTGAATCTGTTTACATAGAAATTAGAATGCGTTCCGGGTGCAGTACAATAAGCATTGTCTTGAATAACTTTATTGGTAATTGATGACACATTATTCGAAAAATCTCTCGAGATCTGGATTAATTTCCAGAGATGCCTGGTACCATACTCCAGTCTTGGCTGTGCTTTTATCTCAAACCACATATGGGTTTATACTTTTATTACAAACTCAACTAAAATCTTTAAGCTTTCAGAGGGATCAGTTGTACCTACATAAACTTTAAGAATGCATTTAGCTATCATTAAACAATGTGAGTGTGTCCGTCTTTCCTGGACTTTCCTCTGCCAAACTTTGAGAATATAGTCCATCTCCAATTGCTTTAGATAGTTTATTGATTTGTACTTAGATCATTTTCATTTACAAGAGGCAGGAAAACTTCTATGGGTTTAAATTTAATAACAGGCATTTTTTCGCAATTGGGCCCAAAGAGATCTAACCGGCCCAGAATGTAAATAGGGACCTTTCGTGTGGCCATCTAGTTTTTGCAGCAATATCGAAGGAAAGTTCATTAGCGTGTAACAGACATACACTCCACTGTAATGGACTCCCCTTTTCATGCAGTATTGACATTTGTACCGTCACATCTCATAACATGTAAAAAAATTCTGCGTCATTTGAGTAATTTCCTGAACTTTCTAACTACTAATTAGCTAACGATATCACTATTTCTTTTTGTTCTTATAATTTCCGTTGATGGTGAGTTTACAACAGGACAAGCTATAGACTTTTCTAAGGACGCAGTTGAAATATTAATAGATTACCTTTGAGCCTCATACAATTTTCGGTCTTTTTTATTTTATTTATGGACTCTTTTTTTGAGAATAATGAGGCAGTTTATTAACAGTTTTTTACTAACCCAAACATTTGTTTACACAAAAAAATTCTTTAATTTCCGGGGGACCCGGTTAATTATTTTTTAAACCGGCCCTTTGGTATAGGATTAAATAAATACTAGTTCCAACTTTTGGTAACTAACCTTAGTAGCGTAAGAAAAAAAATTCGACCCAACCTAGCCTATGTGTCAAACACTGTTGAAAGCCAAACACAAACAATTTAATAGCAACAACTGGTTGATGTTTGTTAGATCTCAATGTTCCATTGAGAATATTCGTAAAAGTATTGAAGAAATTGGTTATAAACTTGTCATAAATTAAGAAAATGAAAATAAATAAAGAATTATATTTTTAGTAAAGTTCAAATCCCTGTGAAATACCCCAGAATTATATTACTTCTATTATAAATATATGAACCAATCACATGTAGACTTGTAGTCTTGAATAACCTTTTTATTGAATTTAAGGGCTCGTGAAGCTTTACGGCAGTGCCTCCCAGACCAGCTGAGAGACAATACTTTCAATGTCTGTCTACAGGAAGACAAATCTACCACTCATTGGCTGTCCCAGTTGTTGAAAAACATCGACTCCCCAGCTACGACTGATCCAAGACAGGTTGGCATGTCACCTTTAACCTCCCAGTAAATACCATGTGAAAAAACTAGGCTGCAGATACAAAAATGTATTAATAGTTCTTAGGAAACGGTTTTGGAACCATATATTTAATTTACTTTTAAATATTGTACATGTTTCATTACATTAATGAATATCTAAATCTTACTGTTTTTACAAATTTATATTTAACTATTTTATTCTTAAAATCATACACAATAATTGGTCGTTTATGTATGAAAAATAGAAAACTATTCATATAATCATTGATTGAGAATTGTGAGCTATTTGAGCAATACAAGCGTACAATGAGCTATGCTTGACACTTGCAAAATGTTACTACTGCACCAATTCATGTGAAAAATCATCTCTCAAAAAGTTAATCCTTAGTTCCTCATGAACATTACAGTCAAATAGTTTTCGTTGTTGCAGAACAAGAGAGTCAGGGTTGGTATCCCCGGAACTCTAGTGTAGTCGAAGCATTTTCCTAATTCTTGAGGAACTTTTAATCATCGTTAGTTTCTGAATCGTTCAAATTAGTCCTTGGTGTGAATAGTAGGATTGTTGTGAATTATATACGAGGGCCGTCCAATAAAAACTTTTTGGAGAGAACATTTTGAAAAAATGGCAATTTATTTTTCAAAATACTTTTAGCTCGATAAACTTACCCCAACCCAGTGATGCTTCGATTTCTTTAACCCGTCTGAAAAATACGTTTTCTCGCAGTCTGCAAATGATGGCATAGCGATGGGCTCATTAGACTTAAATTTCGTGACTTTTCAAGTTTGGAAACAAAAAGAAGTCACACTAGGCCAAATATGGAAAGTACGGTGGATGGAGAAGCAGTTAGTAGCCTAATTTGAAAGAGCACTTTTTTCTTCGCCTAATGAGGCCGTTTTTTCAGCAGCTTGTCATCGAATCGGGCTAATAATTCGGCTTAGTAGAGCCCTGTGATCGTTTTGCGCTTCTCCTTGTAGTCGATGTATATCATACCTTTCGAATCACACAAAACTTAGGCCATTCCTTTCCGGCAGATAGGACAGTCTTCTCCTTCTTCGGAGCACGTTCGCCGGCTGAAGTCCACTGTTTCGATTGTTCCTTAGTCTCTGGTGTTTACCAGTGGATCCATATTTCGTCGGCGGTCACGAAAAGACGCAGAAACTCCTTCAGATTGCGTCTAAATAGTCAAACACTGCTCTGAAGTGGTCTCACGGTTACGCTTGTTGTCCTTAGTAAGGATCAAAAATTTTATAAAAGATATGATCCACGCGGCCTTTTGAAATGCCTACTGTCTCAGCTCTACCAATACGAGATTCACCTGGGTGTGGATCATCAAAAATCGACGTGCACCCATATTAAACCTCAAACCAATTTTTTGACGGTCGAATTCGAAGGAGAACAGTCACGGTACATAACTTCCATGCATTCTTTGATTTCTCTTTGCGATTTCCCTTCCAAAAACAAGAATCGAATCACCGACCGATATTGCGTTTTCCTTGTTTCTAAAATTCATACACAAGCCCCATACGCGGTCAAAACAAAACTACGAGTCCGATTAGGCTGAAATTTTGACAGTAGCCGCCTACGAGAATGTACTACATGATAGTAAATTTCACTTGTGATAGTGGCGCCATCTGGCGGTGAGGCTAAGCACTTATCGGACCATCCTCATACTTATTATAATAAATAATTTTTGGTGTCATAAATTTATAATCAACACAAATAGAATTAGATTGTAGTTATTAACATTATTCCTTGAAAAATTAGATATCTCTATCAAAACGGTAAAATTGTGGGTATGTTTATATTATGTGCACCACTTGTTGAATTCTACTTGTTCTTGGAGGTATTATTTTCCCTGTCGATGGATAAAGTATGCATCGGAAATTTTTACGTTTAAGAAATGGAAACCTGTCTTATACAACCAAATCTTTCTTGATTTGTAGGAATGAGGAATATGAAATCTTTCGATTAACAGTAGATATATTATTCGATGGTATTCGATTTATTTTCACCTGAATAAATCTACTAATACTTCTTGTCACAGTATAGTATTTTCATTAGACAAACTACCTAGGGTTTTAGGCCGGTTTTACAATATAACAAATGGCATTTTCAGCTGATTTTATTTATTTTTTAATGCATGCAGTAATAAAATCGATTTTTTTATCTAAAAAGTAGCGATTGGAAGATCGATGATTTTCTTTCTTATTCTCAATTTATCAGTTTCACCAACAGAACTTTTAGCATTATTGGAGTATAAACGGATGAACTTTTGTTAATTTTTTTGTCATTTTTTATCTCTGGCACGAACATTTTAATATACCTTATTTTGGAATTTTCAAACAATGTTTATGTATAGATCCTCATTTTCCAATCCTATATGTTTTTTTTTTCTGGAAGCCATCTGCTGCCAGGGCTGTACATTAAGGCAAGTGGTTTAATGTACATAAACAAATTGTACATTAAATGACTACCTCATAAATCGAAAAATACAATTTTTAATGGTATTAGTCCCATGGAGTATTTGGTGACATAGTTTTAACGTATGAAGTTCTTTCAAAATCATTTAAATATGTGAATGAGTTCTTTTCTGAAGACGCCATATCTGAAATAATTGATTATTTGTGACCTCACAATTGGCAACTTATTCCAATATAGTAGACACTAAGCAATCCCTTAGGCTTGTGCTAGGGAAGTTTTCCTGTGGTTCCAATTCTATTTCGTCGAACAATTAGGGCAATCCTCCACATCGGTAAACATTTCCTCATCAGCCATTAACTTACGCATACCATATATAGGACTGGTTTCCACGATTATTGTTTCCTATATGTGTCTGGATCAGATACATTGTGAACACTATTTTTGGTGGTAAACATGATGGAAAATCATATTGAAACACTAAAATATTTCAATCACTACATACTTGTAAAAATACAATAATGATAAGCTTAGTTCTGATTAATAATAATCTCCTAATAATTTATATTTCTTGTCATTATTTACTATCTTACATGACAAAATATTTTCATAAATTAAACCTGGTATTAGTAGGCGCTCACAACGAGGCTCCGACGATCATAGGATCGTATCAATCGCCAGGTAAAATAAATGCATTATTTTAAGCTTTGTTTGCCATCATGAAGATGACCTGTTTTAAAGACTTAGGTTTCAATCTAAACCAGTCGATCTGTTTTTAGCGCCAAGATAAAGAATGTTTTTGTGCAGCTAATAATTAAAAATATGTAATATAATGTAACTTATAGAACGGGTTTCAGTTATCCTTGTGAAAAATTCACTAAAAGATATATTTTTTCTGGTTAAATATAATGTGATCAACAACTAGTTTGATTTAATCTAAATGCTAACAAGAATGCTTAAAATATCGTAAGATACGAGCGGATCAATACCTGTACAAGTGTGTCATTATTTCACATAATATGTTGGGTCAATATTTAATTAATAGATCTGAATTATTTAGAGGATATTATTGAACACTTCTTATTTTATTTTTAAAATAACATAATGTTGACTAGTTTTTATTAAAAATTTATGGTAGTTTATTAAACCTAATCCTAAAAATTACTTGTACATTTTTTATCGTGATGGTCTGATAATAAATTGGCAAAAGCTAAGCAGAAAGCTTGACAAATACTTACTAAGATATTGTAACCTATTTAGGACTACAGACTTTTTAGTGTTAGTTTTATTCGTTGTTGTACAGTTGTGTTGAGAAAAATCTTGAAACTGTAGATATAGGTATACGTTTTATAAGGTGAATAAAAGAACTGTGATTATTTTTTAGAAACAACTATTTCTCCCACTATGTGTCGGGAAAACATGTAATTTTATAATTCAGCTGTGCTGACTTGTAACCTCTATGTGTTAATAAAATAAAAAACACTTTAAACTTTTGTGTTATTTAAAGTCTCCCTATGTGCCAAATTCCCTCGTTTCAATAAGAAAAACTAAATATAAATAAAGAGTTCATTAAATCAGACGAATTAAGTATATCACTAAGGGTACCATGATGATTACCGTAGAAGAAATAAAAAAACGCATTACAAAAAATGAAAAATAATAAAGCTCCTGGGCCGGGTGATTTACCTATCGAGTTATTCAAACATGCCACTGCAATAACATTAGAATTGCTTTGTAAAATGTTTAACAAGTGCCTACAAGGAGAAAGTATCCCAAGAGATTGGAAAGTCTCGTACATAAACTCCATCTACAAAAAGGGAAACAGGAATGACTGCAGTAATTACCGAGGTATCAGCATTACGTCATCCACTGGCAAACTGTATGAAAGAGTCTGAAAGCCAGAATAGAAAAAGAAGCCACAGAGATCGAAGAACAAAGTGGATTCCGACCAGGGAGATCTTGTGTCGACAATGTATTTACTCTCAAACATCTAACGGAAAAGAGATTAGCAAGAGGACTAGAACTTCATGCCACTTTTATAGATCTCCGTAAAGCGTTTGACTCCGCACCACTGCAGAGACTATGAACAACATTGGAAAACGCAGGTATAAATGCAGTATATATAAATGCCGTGAAAAAGCTATATCAAGATAACCAAGCTTATATTAAGGTTGGAAACCAAATTTCCAAGGATTTCACCCAAACAAAGGATGTCAAACAGGGCTCTTGCCTCTCCCCAACCCTATTTAAAATATATCTTGGTAATGCTTTAAAATATTGGATGAGAAAATGCAGCCCAATGGGCATATGGGTAAATGACACTCCTATATACACAATCCTCTTCGCAGACGACCAGGTAGTTCTTGCCGAGGACCTACAAGATATGACGTACATGATAAACAAACTAATAGACGAATTCAAAAAATGGGGATTAGAGGTTAATACCGAAAAGACACAATACATGAATATAGGAGGCATCGGTCAAGACATGGAAACAGAAAGCGGATTAATTAAAAACGTTGATCAGTACGAATATCTCGGAGTTACACTAAGCGAAGACGGGAGAGACGACAAAGATATAACAAGAAAAATAGGAAAAGGAAAAAACATGATAAAAACACTACATCCGATCCTGTGGAATAAAACTTTAACTAAGATAACAAAGAAAAATATATATCAGGCTATGTTTCAGCCGGTGCTGACGTATGGGTCAGAAGTGTGGGTCTTTAACAATAATATGTCACAAAAACTCCTCTCAACGGAAATGATGTACTGGAGAAGATGTTCCGGGTTAACTTTGTTTGACCACATAAGAAATGAAAACATAAGAGAGAGAATGAAAGTAAAGAACACAATAATGGATACGATAGCCGAAAAACAATTAAAATGGTATGGACACCTGAGACGTATGAACGAAGAAAGGATACCACGAAAGGTTTGGAACTGGAGACCTACACAGAGAAATAAAAGGGGAAGGACAAGAAAGAAATGGATATCCAATATTCATATAGAAATGGAAAATAGAGGTCTTCACGAAGGAGACTGGGCCGATAAGAAATTATGGCGATTGGGATGCGAGAAGCGACAAAATTAAAGTTGCAAACACTCGCTATATATATATATATATATATATATATATATATATATATATATATATATATATATATATATATATATATATATATATATATAGGCACAGTCAGAGTCAGAGATAGAATGTAGCAGGTAATGACTATAGTTATAAAATGGACTTCAGATATAGGGCTTAACATAAGACCTTAGAAGACCAAAATCATGACCAATCACTAAATCACCTGAGCCTAAATGATACACATGTAAATCGGATGGATGAAGCAAAGTACATTGGGGCAATATTAGGCTTGAGGCTTACTTGGAATTACCAGTTAGAACGAATAACCAAGAAAACAGTAACTACAGTAATGGTTGCCAGACGAACTCATTAAAAAAATACTTGGTTTAAAACCAGACCAGATTTTATATTGGATTTTTAACACGGTATTAAAATCAACAACTACTTACGCATGAGTGGTATGGTGGCTAAAGGTACCTAAAACAAAAAAGTGCCATCATCAAATTAAGCAAGGTGCAAAGACTTGTTTGCCTCGGGATCACATGGGCTACGAGGAACAAACCAACGGAATCTATGGAAACCCTACTCCTTTACATATAAAGGGGAGGCGGGGATGGGATATTATAGACTGCGAGAAAACCTGAGTAACGGTTCGGTTTGATCAGGACGTAGTAACTATAAATGAAATCAGGGGTGACGATTTCTGACCATATGGCACTCAGATATAGGCCTTAAGTACCTTTGTAAGTGGACATTTGCCAAAAGAGGGATGGAGCAAGGGAAACACTCGACTCAACTGTAGGGTTATACCTGGTACACTGGCGATTCTTAAACTGCAGAGTTGTCAGGTACAGGAATATTCAGTAGTGGTGTAAAAAACATTTCTTTTTCACTAGAATACACCTCAGGATTTCAGGCAGATATTTTTGCAATCTTTCAGTGTGCAAGAACAATTACCATACCAAATTTTGAAAAATATTCTTGTACCAAGTGCTTACGATCTCTATAGGAGGACTTGAATTTTATATTCCACCAGAACGGTGATGCATGCCATATAGCTAAAACAACTAAAAAATGGTTTGAAGACAATAACATTAAATTGCTCCCATGGACTTCAAACAGTCCAGACCCTAATGTTATTAAGGCATTGTGATATAAGATAAAAGATAAATTGTGTAATGATCCCCAGAGAACCTTCGCCGATTTGAAGAGTAATTTAGGTGAATTATTTGTCCCAACATTTAGTTGTTAGGGCTCTCATGTACGCTTAAAAAAGGTTTAAGTTCCGAAACTTTGTTAAAAATAAATAAAACCAATATATCTTTCAACATAAAATACAGTCATTTATTAAAACATAATTAGGAGTTCATTGTATTTCTATAAGCAACTTGATCTTCATACATCTTCAAAAATACTTTGTACTTCTTATTGTGGTACTCCACCAATTCCTTATTCGGCTCCACTACTTTTCCTTCGCCACCCATGCTTTGAATGGCTGCAGTCATGTTTTCGAAATGTCCGGCTGCACATGCTCCCAAAATAGCACACCCGAGAAGGACTGATTCTACTTCGTTGGGACATACCGTAGGTAAATTACAAACGTCAGCTTGACTGTGGGTGAAAATTGGATTTTTGCTGAGTCCGCCACATATTAAAGTTGACTTGATTTCGTTATACCCAGAAGCCTTCAAGGTGTCGAGTATGTGTCGAGTTCCATACTAAAAAATGTATTTGAATGTTAATATGTCACATGCAAAGTAAAGTTAATCAATATAAGAAGGAATAGAGTAAACAACATTAATAGTGAGATCGAAAGATCATAAACAGAATAATATTCAGTATCGGAAACGTAATGGTTGGTTTACATCTTAATTTGTAGTAATGTTTATTCAATACAAAAACAATTCATAATAGTCTCCATATGTTTATTTTCTTATGGATGCCGCCTGTTATAAACCCGTCATACTGTAGCCAATTGGCTTATTTGAAATCTTCCATTCCTTCATGTTACTCATTCCAGAATTCTGGAACCCTGTAACAGCTTATACAGATCTAGTTCAAAAAGCCTGATGCTAATTTCTCTTGCATACTGCAAAATTTTTGCCTGTAATACAGAGGTATATTCTCCTATAAACAATGTTGGTGCCAGCCCATCTCCCTGCTTTAGTCCCTGCGAGATTTTGAAAAAGTCTGTCCGGTTGTTTTGTATTCGTACACATGCCTGAGTTTCATCCATTGTGGCTTTAATGAGTCTAATTAGCTTATGTGGTATTGCTAATTCTGCCAATATATAGTATAGTCTGTCCCTTTTGACTGAATCGTATGCCTGTTTGAAGTCTACAAACACGTTGTGAACATCAATGTCGTGTTCCCACGATTTGCTCAAGACCTGCTTGACTGTAAATATTTGATCCATTGTCGATCTTCCCCGTCTGAAGCCCGTCTGATATTCTCCAATAATATTTTCTGCTAGTGGTTGGAGTCGCTGGTTTATAATATACGTGAGGACTTTATACGCTGTACATAGTAGAGAAATTCCACGGTAGTTTTTGCATTGGAGTTCGTTCGACTTCGTTCTCTTCTACATGGTTCGTACCCATTTCATCTTCCATATCTACTTGTGTTCCAAGTAGGGTCTGAAAATAATGCTTCCAGGTTTCTGTGACTTTCTGTTGGTCACTGATTATTTGCCCACTTTCATCTTTGCATAGGCTTGTTTGAGGTTTATATCCACTTTTTATCTTTTTTAGGTATTCGTAAGCTCCTCTAATTTCGTTTTTTTTTTTGAAATTTTGTTCCATTTCTTCCATTTGTCCATTTTCATAAGCTCTCTTTTTGTTTCTGCATATCTTGTCTGCTTTCCGTCTTGCGAGTTCAAATGATGTTCGTCTTTCCCGTGTTCTTCTTGTTATGTACATTTTGTGCGCTTCGTTTCTTTCTTCTATCGCTTGCCTGCACTCGTCATCAAACCATGTTCCTCTTCTCTTCTTTTTCTTGTTTCCCACGGTGGACGCTGCTGCTGTCAGCACTGCTGTTTTGATATTATTCCATTTGCTCTCTATGGAGTGCAGTTCTTGTGTCCTTAGCTCATTTGTGACTTCTTGCTCGAACTTCTCTCTACATTCCTGAGTCTTCAGTTTTTCCAGGTCTAGTTTGTTTGTTCTTTGTTGTCTTTGTAGTTACCGTTCCCTTGGTTATTCGTTCTATCTTCTGATTTCAACAAAGCCCCGACTTTCATATTACCTTTAGATCCGTTACTTCAGTCACCAGATTTAGTTGTGTACCATTTTGGCTTAGAGGATCCAATCCCTCTAAATTCTTCATTATGGTAAATTTCATGATTTGGAGCATCTGGGGGCTTATGTTAAGTCCTAGATTTGAAGTCCATTCTGTAACTACAGTGAGAGGCTGTTAGATTATAACTCTGACTTTGCCATTAAATTTACCATGGGCTAAGATGACCACGTCATCCGCATAACCCAGAACATAATACCTGTCGTTGCTGAGTCTAGCTTTCACCCCAACCATGACCAGATTCCACAAGAGGAAAGACTCAATTGCGCCTGCGGGTAGCCTCTGACTACTTATGCTGACACTGTATTCCCCAGTAACGTTAAGTATAGCACATGGCTTCTCAGTATGTAGTTTATCCAACTGCAGCTTGTTTTGTTATTTCGTCTATTCCTTTTAGGCGAATCGCCTATCGTTCCTTTTTTCCCACCTAAATAATATTCCAGCTGTTTGTGGAAGCAACTTGAGTTATTATCGGCCACTGATGTTGAATATAATGTTCCGAGTATAACGTAGAGTTCTGCTGTTCTACAAATAAAAGAAACACGAATGTTTTGTATTACCCCCATGTAGTCATAGAAAAAAGCTTAATATCTTAAAGTATGCACATACTTTCTATGTACACCGATGGTAAATTATATTTTTTATCACCAGTACTTGATTCCTTTATACGTTATTATTATATTAAAGTAACAAAACGTAGATATATTTTTCTTACTGTTCTACATTCAAAATCACACGAAGGAAAGTGGATCTATATAATTTTATTCTTCTATTTCCTGATTATCAAATTTTCTTATCAAAAATTACCTCAATGATAGAAACTCTGGCATATATAACATGTAACTAAAAACTATTGTGATATAACCAGTGCAACTAGATAAAGGGTAAAGCAAAACCAAAAATACATGGAATACAGTTATTACAACATCTATAAATCTGTTTTAATAAGAATAATATTATCTTAAGCGATAATATTTGATACAGATACGAAGCCGAGGAAAAAGTATAAAGACATTTGGTCTGATACATAATACTTGTTTAAAATAATAAAAATAATTTTTTTTTATAAAACCAATAGGTACTTACTGAGAGGGCCTGCATAGTCGCTAGATACAATAGAGCCAAATTTTCTTCGTCACTTGTAAGTGTAAGTCCACAGATCTAAAAACAAAATAAGAAATATTTTAATATTGCTTTTATAGTTATCAGTAATTGAGAGACAAAATAAACGTTGCATTTCTTAAAATGTATAATAGAATAGTCGAGAAATATTTCAAGAGCAATTTTTAATGTCATTTATTATCTTTAATTTCTGTGGCTCAGTGGTAAGAGCGCCTACCTTTAAACCTAAAGGTCGTGAGTTCGAATCTCACCTGGGTGGAGAAATTTTCGTTTATTAAAAATTAATGAAAATAATTTCTATCCGTGTGCGATCGGTACTCACCGGAGGGACCGCAGACGTTCGGATACAATTACCGTCTCTTAGCAAAGACAATGACGTCGACTTTGCTAAGTATCAAGACAATTACTCTACACACACACTACACTAGGTACCTGACTGTACCATGCCAATGACCATTAGTTGTCGAGGCATTAACTCAATAAAAAAAAATTCGAACTGACTACTATTTCAGTCGTAAATAAGTTTATTTTTGACGTTTCCATTTTCACCTCGGAGATTTTCACCCTAAAAACCACCCCGGTAAAAACATCACCCTCAAAAAATGTCTTCATCCATAAGCATGCTGTTGCCTACAAGATCGAAGATGTATTAATACCTGTATGTCAATTTTGAAAGGCATAACCTATTAACAATCCGTTGCTCGTATTTCCCAAAACTTTTAAAAATAATCTTTTTTTATTATAAAAATAATCTTTTTTGAAAACGATTTTTGAGAAATTTTAAAGCTAATTTTTAAAATCCTTTTTTATTATTGGGTATTGGCTGGACGCGATCTTAAATCTCTTTGTCATGTTGTACGTGGTTGTACGGTAACATAGTCTTAAGCCGGATTCTCACGAGTGGCATATTTGACAAATACACCAATACTGGTGAACCTAACCTAACCTAACCTTCTTATCTATGTACTGGTGTACCTACTTGGCGAGTCACCAATATAATTTTGTCCTTTACAAGTAAACCGTTCACACGGAGTGTACGATTAACAACTGCCACAACAACAAATATGCCAGTAAACTATTAAATATTGAACATTCCAGTGTGAACCACGATAAATAGTGGCCATTTCCACCGCCTTCTAAATACGAAATGAATGGTAGCAGCAGCGAGCTAAAACAACAATATTTGGACGCGTCGCGTCGTGTGAATACAAACACACATATAGTCCAGTACAACTTGTCAAGTGTACGCGACACTCCGATACCTTTGACTTGTAGAGGTTTTATCGACAGGCAACGGGAAAACGGCCAGCACGCGCCAGTGACAAATAATAATTGCTCAAGTAAACCATTCACACGACATGACAAGTATAGGCAATTGACAAATATTGGCCAAATATACCAGTCGTGAGAATCCGGCTTTAGAAATATCAACTAACTTTTTCTGTCTCCTTATGGAATTAATTAAAAAAAAAACAGCTTCTGATTTTGCGATTTTATACTCGTAGGTTTATTACTTTTTATTATAACCAATTTAAAATTCGTTATAACGGTACGTTAAGTTAGATTGTTTAGGACCAACAAACTAAGAACATATAATTATTAATTACCTATAAAGGAACATAGAAAAATCAGAAAGTTATCGCTCCATAAATTACAAACTAAGCTTAATAAGCTAATGCCTTACGTCCAGTGAACTGAAGAACTGATTAAGACATCATACCTTTCCAAAAGTTATACGTTGCATTTTTATATTATATTTTTTCAATATCTATTAAAATTAATATTATAACTCGGTCTAGAATCTACCTTTAGCATATTAATACACCTTTGTTACTATTATTTTTTTAAATTATCTCTTCGGAAAAATCATTATAAAAGTTATATCGTTTGTTAATCTGTTGTGGTAAGTGATAATTAGGATATATATAGGAGAAAGGATGGAGGGCGAGCGTGATGGTACTACTGTATAACGATAAAGGAAATATTCAAAATTGCAAGATCTACAGGGGGACGAGAGAAGTTAATGTAGCACACAATGAAAATTTGGGAGAGAATTATAGGAGAGAGACAGCGATTGGAAAAGAACAGTTTGGATTTATGCCAGGAAGAAGGAAAACAGATGCATTGTTGGCTTTGAGACAGTGGATAGAGAAATACGGCGAGAAGGAAAGAGATCTATATTTGTTATGGATGGCGTACGACACAGTTTCTAGATAAAAATAATAAGAAGTATGAGAGATAAATGTTTTCGTTAGAAGTACGTAAGGCTTGTGAAGGATATGTAGGAGGAAGCGTACACTAAAGTAAGGCGAGTGTCGGAATGACCGAAAGTTTTCCAGTGACGGTTGGTTTGCATCAAGGCTTTTTACTGAGTCCCTAATTGTTTAATATTATTATGGATGTACTGACAAAGAAGGTAGAAGAGGGCGCGCTCCTTGGTCAAAGCTTTTTGCGGATGATATTGTGTTAGTGGAGGAGAGTAAAGAAAGTTTGGAGGAGAAGTTGGACGGTTGGACAAGGGTATTGAATAGGGAGGGCTTAAGTTTAAAAAGTCGAAAACGGAGTATTTGTGATTGGGAAGAAGAGGAATGGTTGGAAACATTGAATTGTTTGGGGTAAAACTAGGATGAGTAGGAGAATTTAAATACTTCAGTTCCTACACAACGAAAAATGGGACAATAGATCGAGAAATTGCCCACAGGGCATAGGCAGGTTGGTTTACCTGAAAGCGAATGAACTTTTCTGTGATCGAAAAATCAGGGAAGGACTGAAAGAAAAAATATACAAGAGTGTGGTGACGCCTGCGTTGGTGTATGGTGGTGAAATGTGGCCTGTAAAGAAGATTCAGGAAAAGAAGATAGAGGTAGCTGAAATTTAAATGTTACGGTGGATGTTGGGCAAGAATAGAAGAGACAAGATCAGGAATGAAGGAGGCGTGATTAAGGAAAAAGCCGAAGTGACAGTTTTAAAAAAGATTCAAGAATAAAGATTGCAAGGGTGTGACTACGTCACGCATAAAAATGGGAACTATATGGGACACAGAATCGAGCTTTTAGAAGGTGAGGGAAGGAGAGGTAGAGGAAAACTGAGAAGTAGGAGAAAGGACTGTGTGGTAGAGGACTTAAAAGGAAAAGGTCAATAACAAAGACACGATGAACAAAAATGAGTGGCGAAGAAAAGTAAGGAACAGCAACTCCTGAAAAGTGAAACGCTGAGGAAGAAGAAGGAGAATATCGTTCGTGGACATCGATATTGCTTTCAAACAAATACCACCTTTAACTGAGGTATTACTAAACGGAAATAGCCAGAAGAACAATAGGCAGTATAAATGAAATATAGCAAGGCTTAGGTATAAAACCTTTGTCAAAAGTAATCTAACCTGTAACGCAAAGACATACAGAACCAGGTAAAACAATAGAGATAAGAGTGTTTAGATGATTCTTAAATATATTTAGGAAGGGCAGAATTAGAAATGATGACGTTAGACAGCGTATGATAGTGGCCGACTCATTAACAATAGCTCTTGACAACCAAATCAAAATATCTATAAAGATTCTTACCATTCCTTTTAGTGTTGGATCGGCGATTGGAGATCTATTTCCGTGGAAGTCTGGCCAAACGTGCAGATCTTTAGTGAGGTAAGCAACTGACGTTAGATTATCCTTTTTGGCTAATTGTTTTAGAATGTTGCTTAAATATTTTTGGATGTGCCTGAAAAGAAAAAAAAAAATAATGTATGCGAATAGGAAATATTGTTTACAATAAATAATATTTAGCTCAACAGTCTTCCAGGTTGAACCACGTCGATTATTATTGGGTCGAGCTTTCGACATCCTCTCTGATGTCTTCTTTAGGGCTTATGAGGTTTCAGTCTCCAAAGCCCCCAGACCCAAACACTACTACACTGATCACTAACCAATCACTAGTACTTTTCTGGTATGAATGTTCAGCTACTGAAGTAAAGTAATTACTGAAGTCGGTTGATGTGATCGCACTTGAACAGACTTTTTTATTTTGAAATTTATTTCCGTGATAATTTATAACTTTCCTGCCAGTTTTTTCTTTAATGATATTGTTGATTTGTAGTGCTTCTTAAACTTTTCATACTCACTATAATCTTTTGCAACATCAGCAATTATCTTGACTGTGGAAAGATTTTCTCGCTTTACTTTTAATTCATCATCAAACCAAGTAATTTCAGTTAACTTTACATACATTTCGGTAATAAATTGAGCTAATTCTGTTGCTGTTTGGGCAATGTTGATGAGATCGGCTAGTATTTGTATACTTATATTAGGTAATAGTAGTGTAATAAACATGAAAATTTGGTTTTAACATAGAGAATTTTTTTTGGAAACCAGCTCATAATGTTTTATTCTTTATATACATACATATATACATACTTTCTTCAAAAAAGAAATATCACCAGGTCAAATATCATGAATAAGTACTGATGTTTCGACTGAATAATGTTATTAATATCAGCCAGTACTTAATATGTCTATAAACCAAAAATATTTTAGGTAACTTACATATCACCAAGTTTCTTCTTAATTTCTGGTGTAGCTGGATGAGTGTCAATGATATGGTCTACAAGTTTTCCAGTTGCGCTCTGTCCTCCTTCATTTAGCCACATACCAGGTATCATGGCATTTTTGTACGGTCCCCATACGCCTGGGGTGAAAGTAGCTTCTCTGGAAACGGCCATGTGACATGTAGATGTACCACATATCAAGCCTAAAATAAATTAAGATAAATCAGATTCTATCGAGGATACTTCCAAATTATAAATATTGTTCTTCAGAAATTTAAAAACAATTCTAAATTGGAAAATTTTATTTATTATCTAAAATACTAGGTGTATCCAATTTATTTTTTCGATACCCCTACAATGGGAAAAGCTATAATTCATTTAGAGTACTAAAAAAGTAATCGATGAAAATAATCATAATCATCATCATCATTCTGGCTTTACAACCCTGCGTGGGTCCTAGCCTCCTCAAGAATTTCTCTCCAGTCATCCCTATTCGTCGCCTTTCTCCGTAAAGCACGTATTCCCATATTTCTCATGTCTTCATCGATGTTATCCAGGAATCGTGTTCTGGGTCTTCCTCTTTTTCTCTGAACAATGGGTCTATCAAGGAGCGTTTTCTAGCTGGATAATTTTGTTCTATCCGCACTACATGCGCTATCCGCCTCAGACGTTCTATCTTAATATGTATATTCTACATTACACTGCGGTAGTATCATTTTCAGTGTTAAGAAGCGCTCTCAGGTATACGAATTCGTTCACTGCTTCTATGACGTCATTTTCTATAACAAGTGGTCGTAGGATTTGTGGTTGCGTGCTTATTTTAGTTTTGTTGGTGATTATTATTAAACCCATTTTTGTAACTGATTCTTTTAATGCTACATACGCCTCTGGTACAGTGTTTTCCGTTGTCCCAACAATATTGATATCCTCAGCATAGGCCAGGATTTGCACTGATTTATTATATATTGAACCAGTAGCTGTGATTTGTGACATACGTATTACTTTTTCCAGGGCCAGATTGAACAGTAAAGGTTCTCCCTGGCGCAGCCCGTTATTTGTTTTAAAAGGTTCAGACCATTCAAAAGTAGAGCATTCAAAGATATCTTTTTGTTATGTTTGGTGCAAATTATTCAAATATTCCAATCATTGGAGAGGGATTTCTGTGTCCATATTTCTTTTATAAGCTACTCTATTGCCATTATGGTTTGGATACGATAAAATAATATGTATTTTAAAAGGAGTGAGACTGGGTTGAGTACTTTAGCCGTTGTTCTTCAATGATTATTCTGAGTTTTTTCTTACTAGACCTCTAAGTAGGAGTTATGCTCAATGGATTGTAATTGATAACTTATGATAAGCGGATGATACTATTAAAAACGAGTGTGTAGGAGGATCTTCAGACAGTATTTGGTATAGTGTCAGTCAAAGAGGTCGATTTAAAGAATACATATTAATAAAATGAATGGTAACAAAGATCATAAATGTAAATATAATCATGTTAAATCAAAGTAGATAGTGATATTTTTAAGAGTTGCTATTTCCAAATACCTTCTTTTTTTATAAAGTTACAATTATTAACTGTATGATTTTCACTTTAATCTATTTCTGCTCGGAATATTACCATTTTCAATTTTTTTTATAAATCGAAATAAATACCTATATGGACAATGGACAATGGCCCTTACCATTCCAGAAAATTGGAAAAAAATCCCATTATGGCTACAAAAAAGGCAGATATTCAAAATTGGCTTCGCTCAAAAGACATTCCCTTTGAAGAAACGATGTTAAAGGGGCAACTTTTAGAAATCGTTAAACAACATAAAGGCGAATATAATAAGTACATAGTAGATGAACTGGTAAGAAGCACAAATAGAATAGTTTTAAGGTTGCCACCGTATCACTGCGAGTTCAATCCAATCGAGCTTGTAGGGCGGAAGTCAAGAATTATGTAGCATGGCATAAACATTTAAATTTGCTGACATTAAAAATTTATTTCATGAAGCTGTGTCTGCTGTAACCATGGAAAAATGGAAAAACTGCGTCAAACATGTAAAAGAAGAAGTGGAGCCAAAAATGTGGGAGTTGGACAATTTAATTGAGGCACAAATTGAGCCTATCATTATCAACTTTAATGATGACAACAGTACATCAGATTCTGAAAGTTAAGATAAAATACGGTAATTTTATAAACTTTTTTTTGTATACTTTATTTTGTTGTTAATAACTCTCGACTTTGTAAATCATTTTAATATTTAAAAAATTGGTGTACTATAATCTGTACCTGTCAGACGTCTACAAATTATATAAGGTTTTGTATTGCAGCTTTAATTTACTAGTCCGGCCCTGAACAAACGCGTGTTTCCAGCGTGCATTTGTTTCCATCGTTCGTAGCTTGAAGTTGAATTTACTGTAGCTCAACATAGAAATACCGGAAATCAAAGATTACAACTTTGTGCGGAACGTACAATTTTGTCTACCGAACAACCTTTTAATAGCCAACAGGTTTTTAAACAATATCCCAGAAAGCTATGTACAGTACATTCAACCAACTTACACCTCTAAACGATTAGGAATTCGCAGAAAACATTTCGTTGTAGTAAAAAGCACGGTCATCTGCACTGAAGTTCTCCATAATATTTTTAATCACTTTATTTATAATATTTTTACCTGTATGATCAGTTAGAGTTAATTTGTATGAAATGAGGAGCAAAAATTCAAATGGAATTTTAAATATTATTGTTTATTTGGCTAATAATGAATGTATAAATATAATGGTTAACCTGCTGTACAATTATTTTGTAAATAACGTTACAATAGTGTACTTACTGATTATTTAAATGTATAAATCATTATCATCGTCACTAAATTCACTACTGTTATCATTATGTAAATCTATAATCACTGGATTAATTTCATTAATTTTTTTCCCGGATTCACCACTCTTCTATTAATTTTTCACATTTATTTACAGTTTTACCCATATTTCTGGAGTTGCCGTTTTAAGAACTTCTTGTCACATTTTCCTAACTGCATTGTATCCACTGCATCCAACATGATTATCATAATTCGTTTTACATATACCCCATATGTATTCGATGAGATGAAACTGGCAGTGATACGGCGGTAACCGTAGTACTTGGTGTCCATAACGTAAGACAATTTGGTCTACTATATAAAACGTTGGTTGTTCATTACGTTTCGAAATTACCAGTAACTCTAATTTGAAGGCGTATTCGGAAAATTGATATTATTTTTAACTAATCAATTTTTTATGCTCGGCACGTTCCACGACTGTTTTGGTTGTTTCTCCAAAATATCAGAATGGTAAGGTGCATTATCTAAAACTATAATTAACTATAATTGATGTTTCACTCAGACTAGGTAACAGTTTCTCCTCTAGCCATTTAACAAACATATCTGTATTCATGTTTTTATGGTAATCAGCAGATTTTGATTTTGAAGAAAAAAATCAAATGTGTGTTTTCTATAAAGCCTTCTTTAGCTCCTACATGAAGAATGGTGTGTCTTTTGCCTTCGCTATATGTGTGTTTTCTTGATTTTATGCTGTCGTCTTGCCAAATTCTTTTAATTCCACGCTTTGCAAATCTCCATATCTCATCTAAGTATATGAATGTTGCATTTTTAGATTTAAGTCTGGAATATTCTCTTAAAAATTTAATTTTTTTGTGAACCACACTACTCTTTTCGCATTAAAGTAACCGATTATTTTGTTTTTTGAATTTAAATCCTAAATCTTTCAATACTTTCCAAAGGCTAGTCCTCTTAATTTCAGAAACTTGTCTTTCTTTTATTTTGGTCAATAAAGTATCCAAACTGACATGTTGATTGTTTTCACGCATTCGATACAAAATATTGCGAATTTCAAATTTTTCTTCATCAGGTAAGTCAATGCTCCTAGAATGTTTACAAGTTGTTTCTTATCTTCGTGATACTCAGTCACAGTAAGATCTTCGTGAGGCTCTCTGACAGACTTCATTACAGTTTTTAGCTTACTTTCACTTCTACCGAGTGCGACACAAACGCATTGATTTATACGTAATAATAACTTTAAAGGTCCACCACTGTCTCTTGCCATGGTAAAGTATTTATGCACATTTGCAATTAATTCATCAATATTAAATTTACCTTTAGGCATGATGGTCACTTGAAACTACATGTTTGAATTACAATGTGCTGAGTTTAGATCAATATGACAGAAACTTTTTAACTGTTGTACCTGAGAGGTAAAATAAAATATAACTGCTAACAAAGATCCTAAACACATTAAGCAAATTAGCCTAATGATCATTAGGAATGCCGATTGTAATTTAATTATTTTTGATAAAAAGTTTAAAAATGGTTGGAAACCGAACATAAACAAATTGAAATGTTTCCCACAATTGTTTTATTTTTAGTTCAAACATTTTCATTTGAAAGTAAACACTTAAATATATTTACCAAAACCCTAACTTTAACCCGTAATCGCAGACGTCTCAAAAACGGTACACTCTAACAGACATATGGTCAATCTACCCACCACTATTTTAATTGACAAAATGTTCACTTATAAATATTAAAAAAAAATAAAAGTGATATTTTATTACTTTGTATATCTACTTTGAATATAAATTATCCTTAGCACGGTAGTATTTGTTTCAGAAAAAATTAATGACCGAAAAACGGGTTAATGACACATATATTTATTTTATACCTAAAATTTAGCAAAGTGTTAAACATTATGGAGAACACCAGTGCAGTTTACCGTGCCTTTTACTACAAAGAAAGGTTTTCTGCGAATTGCGTTAATCGTTTAGAGGTGTAAGTTGGTTGAATGTGCGAACTCTCTGCGAACAGAGAGGAAGAATCTTTAAAAACCAATTTGACTTCATTCTACTTGACTTGAAGTTAAGAAGTATATAAAATTTATAAAATCCTACTCTGTTGCAGATATTTATAGCGAGCACAATCCAATAGTAATAGAATTTAGACTCAAAAGGTTTCTGAAAGTCGAATAAGATGAAGTGAAGAGAAACATATACATTGAACAACTAAAAAATTTCAAAAAAAAAAACCAGAGGTTAGTATTACAATCGAGAAAGAAAAAGAAACGATAACGAAACAAGTGCAGTATGAAATGAAGACATTAAAGATAGGTGGAATGTTTTCAAAACAAACAGAGAAAACAAATCGAAGAAAAAAAATGCATTCTCATAATATGCTCCCCAAATATATATATATATATATATATATATATATATATATATATATATATATATATATATATATATATATTATATATATATATATATATATATATATATCTATTGATAAAGTTGTTTTTTATTAATTTTATTTTTTATTTATAATAAATGTAATTTTTAAAATATGTGGTTCGTTGTTTAATGCAATATATACCTCAGCTAGCTCAATTATATGTTCTAAGCAATCTGTCACTGTGTGACGTCGACTCTGTAGTCTCCTGGTAGAGTTCAAAAAGAAATTACAACCAAAATTTACTTTAGACCTTTGATAAATTAACCCATATGAAGCACGTTATTTATTAATATTGAACAAATTTAATATAAACAATAAAATTCGTCTGCAACTTCGGTTGCCTTTAAAAATTTACAAAAATAGGAATCTTTTAAGTCTTAACGTGGTTTAGTGACGTGACAATAAAAATGTATTACAAAATGTGGAGACTCTCTACAAGTACCTAAAAACTAAATAAATATTGCAACTTTATAAAGTGTTTAAATGAACTATAAAGAAAAAGAAAATGATCACTTTATTCCGCTGACTATTCAAATATAATCAAAATTTCAAATGATCCCCAAAATTATTGTCCAACCTCACTTTAAAACAGTTCTGATTTCTTTAAAGGAAACTAACTACTCAAAAAATAATCGGTGAAACTGGAATATCAATCCTCTCTTCGGAAGTTAAGGTACGTACTATTCTATTTTTAATTTAATGATCATTAATAATTTCAATTTTTAAGGCCTATCGCAATTATGTTAATTCATGAATTTTAATTTTCTCAATTTAAATGACATTTCTATACTCCAATATAATTTATAAGTGAAATTGTTTCTCTTACTCTCTGGAACAAATTTCTGGATATCTCTGCTGTGGAAACTGTGGAAAAACTAAATTCTAATTAGACGAGTTAAAAAACACTCCCGACCTATTCCACAGTTTCAGGGCTCTCCTTCGTCCAAAAAAAACCTCGTCGGCGTCCTCTCCAAAAACCAATTCCTCTTATTATCCGTTGCTAACAGCAACCAACGTTCTTTTTTTTTCTGTCTTCTATTTAAATATTTTAAACCATAAAACTGTCCTGTTTGACATATTTGTCAAGCCACATTACTTTCTCATAATCACTTTAATCACATATAATTTGGGAATTTACAAAAAAAAATGTTTAGATATAAAACTTATTCTATTACAATACTAATTTATTCTTTTCATCTCCACATCATTGTAATTTCTTATTTAACAAAACCCCTATTAATTTAGCTCCCACAGACTGTCAAATAAACTGTCAAGCAGTTTATTTTCTGACGTTTATTAAAATTTCTATGTTTAAATATTTTTTTAAAATTCTTCTTTTTTTGTTCTTTTTAAGGTTTAGACGATTCACCTATACACTAGGCAACTATACTATTCAGAAATTATTAACACTATACCAGGTAAGTCAAAATTAATTTATTCAACAATTTACTAATCTTTTTCTCTCTTTTATTTCAGAGTCGAACCCACATTGTGATGGCTTCATGAAATTCATAAACAACAAACTCATATAAAAATCCATTAAAGTTGTATATATTTTAACATATTGAAATCATTTCAATATATATATATATATATATATATATATATATATATATATATATATATATAAATAATTTTGGAGAACAGTATGCATTCTTGGCTGACACATTGTTCTGGATCGAATTCATTTGAGAGTGTGTCAAACACTTCAATTATTCCAGTAGTGTTCCAGTTCGTGTAGATCAGTTATAAGCGAGATTAAGTGTTGTGATACACCAACTTCTTTTAGTATCTGCCATTTTCAAAGAACTATTAAAAACAGATACATAATACAAGATATATGGGGATAAAAGGTCAGTAACAAGATGCCAGAATTCATGATTAAAAGATGTGGGTAGGTTGTTTGTACACCCACCGTATCCATTTGTAGAAAATGTATAATGTACAATTCGTCTGGAATGTTCATTTCCAATCGTGTGAATTGCTGCAATAGCATGCAGCTCATGCTATGTCATACTCGTGGAAAATAAATCGTTTGATACTTATTGTACAATATACTATACTGGCAATAAATTTACGATTCTACTTTGTATGTATTTCTTATTAATAAAAATCCAAGGAATTATCTTGTAAGTAATAAAGGTCAGTAGTCATTTTCGTGGATGTCATTAGTCAATTTTTACGGAAAAACGAACAGTAGAATACGGTAGGAGCGAATATTTGCGCAAAATTAGGGTCATGTAAATATTAGTTAATCAGTGCAGATACAGCATCCGTGTGCAGTGGCTGATAAAACTGGACTAAAGTGGAGCAACAAAAGCCTTTCTCGAACATACACTTCCCTCGTTCCAGATGACCTAAATAATAAAAAATTCGATGCTTTTGGTTCACTCTTATTAAACAACGAAAATATCCTCTCGTCAATGTATATCTACTTTAATACATCATATTTCAGAAAAAGCTTGTTTTTTAGTAAAATATTAAAATTTAGTAAACTAATTTTTCGAATTTTTTTTTCCTTTTAAATCCATAGACTTGTAAACAAAAATTAAATTAAGAACAGTTGCTATACAGGGTTGGGATAAAGTATTAGAAAAAGTAAATATTTTTGAAACAAAGAAGGTGATATTTATAAAAGTTTGCATGCAAGGACAATGACACATAACGCATATAATGCTATACTTTTGTTACTACTCCATTATACTACTTCGGGTTTCACTGGAAATATTCTCAACTTATTTAATTCCAATGGGACACCCTGTATATTTTTGGAGATTAAAAAAAATTTGTTACAGCTAAATAATAGGTACTTTTATTTCCCAATACCTACGAGAATAATAATTTAATTTATTTATTAGTCTAATAAAAATAAAACGTAAACTCGTGTCTTTGTTTTTTGTATTAAAACAATGTAGTGAGAAACAGACAAGTACTATCTAGTAGTTAACTGTTGAAAGTTTAATGTTTGGACATGTTTCATAGATGAAAACTTAACTGGTCATAAATATTTAGATTTACTAAATAACCAAATTATCCATGCACTTCAGAATGGCCAATTTACCACAAACTTTTTGGTAAGCCCTTCCTCACTATTATCGACAGGTCATAAATTTTTTTAATGCGAATTTTCCGAATTAATGGATTGAACGTAGAGTATTCATATAGTGGCCTACCTGTTCTCCGGACCTTAATCCGTTAGATTGTTTTCTTTGGAGTTATCTAAAATGACGTGTTTACATCAGGCGATTAACATGTTTGCAGGCCATGAAATATAGAATTATTGATGAATGTGAACTAATATCTACGTAAAGTAGTCTTGGAAAGAGTGACTCACGAATTTAATATTAGGCTTGCACAATGTTAGAAGGTGAATAGCGAGAATTTTAAACATTTGAAATGATTTTTTTTAAATGTTATTTTTATAAACACTTTTGACATTTTAATTATGTTAAACACGACCTTTTTAGCGTAAAACGTATGTTGTCAACTCTGACTTAAAGTACGATTCCGACAATGCTATCCGTCTGCAGTTACTGTCGGTTGTCTGCAGTCGTTATCAGAATCGTACCTTTAATATTTACCTTTCGTAAATATATACAACTACTTTAACCGATTATAGCGATACTTATAAACTTACCAACTCGAGTGTGAAACGCAGGATCTACTCCGGGGACCCTGCAACCAATGAGACCCAATCCACCAGCATGTGCGTCTATCATGGAAGCACCCACAGGAGTACCTGCCACTAGTCCGAGTTCTGCAGCTGCTTGTTGGGACAGTCCTTTTCCTACTGCAGATCCTGGAGCTAATACAACGCTACCGATCTTTCGCCAGTTGTTTTCTGCCAGATCATCCAGGCCTATTTGTTCGAAATAGGATTTATTCCAGCTTTCGGTGCCGGTTATTGACATTTCGTAAGTCCATTTACATACTAGAGAACACGAGGATCTGAAAATAAAATGAAATATTAAGAATTAGTCAGTAGAACTTTAGCAAGTCATAGAAAATTATGAAAAAAAAAACAGAGAGTCACTCCCAAAGTAATGGACACAAACATATATAACATCAATACTTAAGAAAAAAGACAAAGACTATGCAAAAAATGAGAACGAGAATCATTTGGAACTTCGATATAACAAAGTTTCCTCTATAGGGAACTTTCATCTCTATTCATCATCTTTTTTTTGCCGTAATTCTTATGCAAGGTCTTCTTATTCTTTATGTACCATGTCCTCTCAGAAAATTGGGGACCATCATAGCTATCTTAGTTTTATTATACCCATAAACCACCCTAAATAGCACGCTTATATCAATACCATATCAATATTGCAAGTCCTTCAATGATGAAATCTTTCCTGGACTGTGTTTACTTGTTATCTTCCCTTGCATAATATTTTATAGCAACCTATATTGGGACCTCTCATTACATGTCCACAGTACTCCAGCATTTTATTTTTGATACTCTTTATAATCTCTGTAGTCTTATTGAGACGTTCTAGTATTGCGGAGTTTCGAATCTTCTCCGCCCAATTTAAATCACTTTTAATCAGAGTCCAAGACTGGACACCATAAAGTAAGACCAAGAACATGTAGCAGCGAAGTAGGCGGATCCCCAATGCCAATTTTAGGTCTTTGTTAAACAATACCTTGAACATCCTTCTAAATGCGGCTCTGGCCTCTGTAACTCCCTGCGTTTCAGTAACGTCCGCATATCGCAAATTATTGATGACTTGTATCGTTCACAATTATTCCTTCTTGTTTTTTAAAAAGCTCATTTCTGAAAATTCTTTCGGAATAAACGTTGAAAAGCAGGGGCGACATGAGGCATCCCTGCCTTACTCTTGTTATGTTTTACCTAATTTTCAGTGGCCTAATAAACTAATGGTTCTATAATCAGTACAGGTTTTGCTATTGTCTTCTTTGGTATAGCTGTGAACAATGAATTGGACCAACCATTAGGTAGGTGTCCGCTGGTATAAATGGTATTGAAAAACGAAGTTATAGCCTCTAATACATTGCTATCATTTATAAGCTTATATATTTCACTTGGAATTTTATCAGGACCTGTCGCTTTGCCATTTTTTAATGATTGTAAGGTTTGTAGTACCTCAGAGCGTGTTATTAGGGGTCCGTCGCGGTTAGTAATATCCGAAGGTGAACTAATCCTAATGTCTTCGAATAGATTCGTAATATAATTTTCCCATTCTTTATGTTTGTCCTCTACTTTAAATATTACTTTACCATGTTCATCATGTAGCAGTGCAGATTTTTTCACTTTTTTATACATGTTAACCGTGTCGTACCTATTTTCGAGTTCTTCAATTTCATGACACGTGCTAGATTTTGACTATGCAGGGTTGGCTTCTGTACTCCATTATTATATGTCTCCATAAATTTCCATCTTGGGACAAGAGGCAATATTAACAATATTAATTCCCTTCACAGACATGTCGTGCCTTCCACTAGGTTTTCTTTGGTCGTTACCTTCTACTCATTTAAGAAACTTGCAACTCAGCAATTCTCAATACACTCAATGAATTGAAGGCACCTTCTACTCAAGCTGATGATTTGAGCTCACCTATGTGCTAAATGAGATGTGTGGAGTACAAATGATAGATCCTAATCTTTATGAAAAAACTTCTAGAAAAAGAACGATTCATTGCAACGATAAGATTGCAACAGGGCAGAGCTATTTGTCTAGACTGGGCAGGTTGTACGTATACAAAAAACTAAAGCGTTTATATAACAGTGTAGCTATAACTTGACAAAGTAGATAAACGTAGATTATATACATGGAAATCACCTATGGATAGCAAAGAAAACATTATCAGAAACCAGATAGATTATATCCTTATCAATAAGAGATAACGTAACTCCATCAAATCGGCAAAGACATATCCTGGAACAGATGTGTCATCAGACCACAATCCAGTAATCGTAAAATTCGAAATCCTCTTAAAGAAAATAAAAAATCAACAAAAGACACAACAAATAAGCACTCTTCTAAAACAGCCGAATATAAAAGGAGAACTAACGTTGAAAATTAACGAGGAGTTAAGCAAAACAATAATAATTGATAATGAAGATTCCATGGATGACAGATGAGATCCGGCAACTAATGGACAAAAGAAAATCATACAAAAACAAAAGCGTAAACGAATACAAAGCCACACACAAGGAGATCAGGATAAAAATAGGGGCAGCTAAAGAGAAGTGGTATAACGACAAATGTTGAGATAGAAGAACTCCAGAGAAATCATGATAGTTTTGAATGGCACAAAAAATTAAAGAATTTGCAGGTATAAGACGGTCCAACAATAGTAACACCAAAAAAATTTTGTTTAAAATCCTTTATAAAAGGTATATAAAAATGCCTCAAACGGGCTATCACAAACACATTGCAAAACGTTTTCGGATTAAACAATCCATCATCAGTGCAAACGGTTGTACATGCTAGTAGCCACCAAAATATATGGGTAAAAACCCTTTAAATGTTATAAATTTGAAGTTGTTTTACATTATTAGTATTTCTAATTTGTGATGGTTAAGTTACCGTTGGATAGGTAACATGGCGGCGTATGACTCTACATGAGTAAAATGGTCCTGAGACGAAGTGTCTACGAGGATCTGTTGATAACAACTACTGTTGATAACAACCTAGTTGTTATCAACAGGTCCTCGTAGACACTTCGTCTCAGGACCATTTTACTCATGTAGAGTCATACGCCGCCATGTTACCTATCCAACGGTAACTTAACCATCACAAATTAGAAATACTAATAATGTAAAACAACTTCAAATTTATAACATTTAAAGGGTTTTTACCCATATATTTTGGTGGCTACTAGCATGTACAACCGTTTGCACTGATGATGGATTGTTTAATCCGAAAACGTTTTGCAATGTGTTTGTGATAGCCCGTTTGAGGCATTTTTATATACCTTTTATAAAGGATTTTAAACAAAATTTTTTTGGTGTTACTATTGTTGGACCGTCTTATACCTGCAAATTCTTTAATTTTTTGTGCCATTCAAAACTATCATGATTTCTCTGGAGTTCTTCTATCTCAACATTTGTCGTTATACCACTTCTCTTTAGCTGCCCTATTTTTATCCTGATCTCCTTGTGTGTGGCTTTGTATTCGTTTACGCTTTTGTTTTTGTATGATTTTCTTTTGTCCATTAGTTGCCGGATCTCATCTGTCATCCATGGAATCTTCATTATCAATTATTATTGTTTTGCTTAACTCCTCGTTAATTTTCAACGTTAGTTCTCCTTTTATATTCGGCTGTTTTAGAAGAATGCTTATTTGTTCTGTCTTTTGTTGTTTTTTTTATTTTCTTTAAGAGGATTTCGAATTTTACGATTACTGGATTGTGGTCTGATGACACATCTGTTCCAGGATATGTCTTTGCCGATTTGATGGAGTTACGTTATCTCTTATTGATAAGGATATAATCTATCTGGTTTCTGATAATGTTTTCTTTGCTATCCATAGGTGATTTCCATGTATATAATCTACGTTTATCTACTTTGTCAAGTTATAGCTACACTGTTATATAAACGCTTTAGTTTTTTGTATACGTACAACCTGCCCAGTCTAGACAAATAGCTCTGCCCTGTTGCAATCTTATCGTTGCAATGAATCGTTCTTTTTCTAGAAGTTTTTTCATAAAGATTAGGATCTATCATTTGTACTCCACACATCTCATTTAGCACATAGGTGAGCTCAAATCATCAGCTTGAGTAGAAGGTAGAACATTCAAAACAACAAACACGTTGAGATCTATTTTGTCCAAAACCAAACCTAACAATGAACAAGAAAAGACAAAGAATTGCATTTATAAAATACCTTGTGAATGCGATCAGTTTTATTTAGGTGAATCATCAAGGCCATTAAATGTTAGAATAAGTCAACATCAATCTTATATTAAAAATAGAGAATTTGATAGATCTCAAATATGTAAACACGCATGGGATAATGAACATAGGGTTCAATGGAATAATTCAAATATAGTCCTAAAAGAAACGGATGGCAAAAAAAGAAAAATCAAAGAAGCGGCTCTAATTATGCTAAATGAGGCCAATTGTGTCGCAAATTCCTCGGCAGAATGTAGTAGGATCTGGTTACCAATATTGAAAGAGGAAGTTATTAATAAAAAAATACCAGTCTTAGTAAGTCAGTAACATATAGAGGATACATCATTTATGTTTTTTAAATAACGTAACATATAAAATCAGAATTTTGATGTTTGTTGAAGGTAAACTAAATTCACGAACAAATACTTACAATGTCGGGATAGTATTATGAGGTTTTTTTTCCTGGTTTTTCCCTCATAATTTACTATGGAATCACTAACAGGAGAATTTTTACTGTCATCATGTCATGTGTTTGTCTTTTTAAAGACGAATTACATGCTATGATTTTTTCTGACGGATATTCTCACTTTAAAGTTGATTTCATGTAATCGAATGAACTATCTTATAAGTAAAGTCGTCCCAGGAGCGCAACTCAACAATATTGGCAATATCATTTTAAAGTCGTCTACTTTAAAATGCATAATGTATGTCTGAATTGTCAATATAAATGAGACAGATAAAATTAAATTATTAGAAGAATTTTTTCACTATCTAACAAAAAACAAAATTTGTTTAATTTACTGTTTGTATTTTGAGAACGATTTCCGAATTGGAAATTGAAACGTCAATAAACGTATTTTTATCTTTAATTGTGGCTTATTCCCAGTTATAAATAGTAATTATTTTATAAAGGATTTTAAACAAAATTTTTTTGTGATATATGGTATACAGCCAGCTACAGGAACTTAATTTCCTCGTGGAATTTTAATAGTAACACCCTGATTGATACGAATGGTAAAAATAATATCTGATATCAAAGGCAAACTAAACAGGTGGAGAGAATACGTCCAAGAATTGTTTGAGAACGA